GCTAGAAGCGTAGTGTAATGTCCAAGGATTTAATTAATGTTTTGACTATCGAGGAAAATAGCGATGCCGCGATGGTCTATTCCACTTTTATCACCTGGCTTTGATCACCCAGATCAAAGTGGACTCAAAGCGACAATTTGGTGTCCTTTGATCAACCATGGATAAGATGACCTGGGTGATCAAAATGGAAAAGACCGCCGCGATGGTGTGAAAAGTAGGAGATTCAAAGTATTACTGATGAACAGAATACATAATCTGTTATACAATTGATATTAAGTAAGTATAGCAAACAAATGAAAGTGAAAGATAAAAAACAAATCAGAGTGACTTATAAACAGCTAAGTAGGCTCAATCGGATATTTTATCGATTCTCAATCTCAATCCCCTTTGAAATGGCATTTGTCCCAAACTTGATGTATCCCCCTGACCTGTGGTTGCGCCTAGGGGGTTTAGGGGGTTTCTACGCTAATTACACGCTGTACCAGATTATCAACTCCATCGAACCTTTGATCTCTGCCCAACCCGTATCAAATCCAGCTTCAAACCGCTGAACTATAATCCTGCCCGGCGGACACTCGACGCAATATTTGTGTTTCATTTTGCGCGTTAACGATGTTTTTAATCCTCCGCGCTGGACGCCCATTATCGGAGCACAGGGCGGCAAATACAGACGGCTGACTGTATCACGGAAAGACATTGGGAGCAGTCGCTTTGTAATTGAAAGGCGATTTTGTTATAAGCAGAGTTAAAACACACCAGGTTTTAGTGGGTTCAAGCCCCAAATGTTTCTACCTGAGGTAGGTAATTGTGTTGTGATCCAGTCCTGTGCCCATTAGTGGCCATCGCCAGAAGTAACTTTTTATTATCTTATCGCTCTATCTCTCCTCTGTTTTCTAAAGCTGTATATTGGTTAAGTATACCTACATGGTAAGTTGCAGAATGTGTAACTTAGATTTACCTACTTTCATCGTCGCGGTACCATGAAGTCTAGGTACCTACTCTACTCCAATAAAAGCCATAGTAATAGCGACTAATGGCCATCAATAAGTAATAGTACCCCTATTTGATCTGTGCTCCACAGATCATGAACGGTATGAATATGCTGAATATATTGCTGGATGCTTTGTGCGTATTTGGAGATCCAACCTTTTTTCGGTGCGAGTGCTTTGGAATTAAGTTTTTATGTATACCAAGGGTGCTTGTTAAAATTCGATCGATGCAGAAAACAAGTTAACCTGTACAGTTTACTGGTGTAAGTACCTAAAGAGAGTAATAGGTGTGTACCTTCTTACCTACTTAATGTTGTTGGGGTCTAGTGGTAAGGTTACTTGTCTCAGACCTCAAGGACCCCTGGGTCTCAGGTTACGATTCCCAGAATTTTCTGCTCGTGGTTGATCTTAGTTAAGGCAAGGCAATTAGGCAAGCTAATTAAGTTATAATATCAATGTTAATGAATTGCAGGCGTAGAGCTTCTGCGTTGTGGCATAGAAAAACTCTGATTGGGGATTATAAAATCCATTTGGGCTGACAGACAGTGCACTACCTAGATGGCTAATTCTAGCTCATACATACCATGTTTTAAACATCAACAGTAGATACCTACTGATCACTGGTCTTTAGGTCTACCCACTTATCCACAATACCTACCATTCGCGAGAAGGTACACAGAGAAGACCAAAATAATGACTCGAATATCTATTTTCCTTAGTCCTTTGCCCGATATGGAAACATTATTTTATGCAGCTGAATGGCTTCATTTGCATGGGGAAATATCGTCGAGATGATACGGTTGCCAGCCTCAGAGTAAGATTACCCCAACTTTTGTTGGGGTAATCTTAAATCTATACCGTCTGAGCAGTCGCCAGTCCTCAAAAAAGTCATCAAGCTAGCTCATTATTAAATTCAGTATTAGCTCATTATTAGTGCCTGAATTTGTGAGTTATTTTTTTCAAATAATGGTTGCCTGGAGATCACTTCTTAGCAATAAGACCTAAATTGGACCCCAGGTAATTTTCTATTTCTTTTACTCGTATTTCACAGTTTTGTGTGGTACCTATAAGAGCCCACAAGTCTCTAAAGCTCCATATTTCGAGGAATATTTCTACACTGGCAACATTATCAAATATTGCATACGTTCCCATCGTATAACAGGTACCTACTTACACGTCGACGTTTTCTTATTGGGTGTATTCGTTTGTGCGACAAAACTGGACGTTGCCTTTCATAGCTACCGGTTTCAAATCGAAATTTTATTGGAAATGCACGAAACACAGTTTTAGTGCTTCCACTGAAGTGTGCTCGTACTTAAACGTATTCGAGTGAAAAGCTTTACTTTTCCTTTACTTAGCTAAGAAATCTTTCGTGAGATGTTGAATGTGATTTGTGAGTTTTTGGTGAAAGTAGCTCCGTCGAAATTCTTCGTTACCTATTTATTTCCTAGTCAAGCAGGGAAAATTCTAGAATACCTATCAATAAACCTAGTTCATCTGAGTTGGTTATCCTACCTAATGTACTTCCTGATTCAACTAACTAAAACGTAAATACAATTTGGAATGGGAAGGGGAAAGAGGCAGACCTGTTATAGGGCCCATTGGAGTAGGTATGGATAATGGCAACGTAGGGGGTACTGCCATTGACAGACGGCGTTATAATAACGCCGGTCTAACTCTAATAAAGGGGGTCCAAAGCCGGGGGGTCCAAATGGGGGAGGGGGAAAGTGGTGGAAAGGGGGAGAGGGCGGCGGTGGGCCTGGTGGAGGTATGGATGACGGTGGTGGAGGGGGTGCCGCCAAAGGGAGAGAGGCAGACCTGGTAGGGCCCATTAGGGTAGGTATGGATGAGGGATGTTATAGATATCCGTAACCGTAACCGAAACCGGTATATTATTCCTATATCCGTAACCGTATCCATACCGAAACTACATATCCATAACATCCCTAGTATGAATAATGGCAACGTAGGGGGCACTGCCATTGACAGAGGGGGCGTTATAATAAATTGTCGTTCGCTTTTGAATAAAATCTATATATATAAAAGAAACTAGTGTTAGTNAAGTACCTAAAGAGAGTAATAGGTGTGTACCTTCTTACCTACTTAATGTTGTTGGGGTCTAGTGGTAAGGTTACTTGTCTCAGACCTCAAGGACCTCTGGGTCTCAGGTTACGATTCCCAGAGTGCCAAAATTTTCTGCTCGTGGTTGATCTTAGTTCAAGGCAAGGCAATTAGGCAAGCTAAGTAATTAAGTTATAATATCAATGTTACTGAATTGCAAGCCTAGAATTTTTTGCGTAGAGCTTCTGCGTTGTGGCATAGAAAAACTCTGATTGGGGATTATAAAATCTATTTGGGCTGACAGACAGTGCACTACCTAGATGGCTAATTGTAGCTCATAAAATGTTTTAAACATCAACAGTAGGTACTGATCACTGTTCTTTAGGTCTACCTACTTATCCACAATACCTACCATTCACGAGTCCTACACAGAGAAGACCAAAATAATGACTCGAATATCTTTTTTCCTTAGTCCTTTGCCCGATATGGACACATTATTTATGCAGTTGAATGGCTTCATTTGCATGGGGAAATATCGTCGAGATGGAGTGGACTAGCGTAAGTAATACGGTTGCCAGCCTCAGAGTAAGATTACCCCAACTTTTGTTAAACTTACAAAAATGCATTTTGCTGATGTTCAACCATTATAGTAACATTATTGGCCAATGGTTGCCCTAACTATAGGTTAATGCCTTTAATTTTTAACAAAAGATACTTATCTAAGATATCGTCTGAGCAGTCGCCGTCCTCAAAAAAGACATCAAGGTAGCTCATTCCATGCCTGAATTTTTAAGTTGCTTTTTGCCTTAAATAATGGTTGCCTGGAGGAGATCGCTTCTTAGCAAAAATACCACCTAAATTGGACCAATACAATTTGGTAGGTAAATTCTTTTATTTGACAGTTAAAACAGTAAACAGTACACAAAAAGTGCAATAAAGAAAATATCTATCTATTTATTTAAACATAAAATACACGAACACAAACAAAACACTCTGTATAAGAGCCCACAAGTCTCTAAAGCTCCACATTTCGAGGAAAATTTCTACACTGGCAACATTAACAAATATTGCATACGTTCCCATCGTATAACAGGTACCTACTTACACGTCGACGTTTTCTTATTGGGTGTAGGTTTTCGTTTGTGCGACAAAACTGGACGTTGCCTTTCATAGCTACCGGTTTCAAATCGAAATTTTATTGGAAATGCACGAAACACATTTTTAGTGCTTCCACCGAAGTGTGCTCGTAAACGTATTCGAGTGAAAAGCTTTACTTTTCCTTTACTTAGCTAAGAGTTCATCTTTTGACTAGTTTGACTAGGAAATAAATCCTTCGTTATTTATTTCCTAGTCAAGCAGGGAAAATTCTAGAATACCTATCAATAAACCTAGTTCATCCGAGTTGATTATCCTACCTAATGTACTTGCATTATGCTGATTCAACTAACTGAAACGTGAATACAATTTGGAATGGGGAGGGGAGAGGCAGACCTGGGCCCATAGGAGTAGGTATGGATAATGGCAACGTAAGGGGCACTGCCATTGACAGAGGGGGCGTTATATTATAATAAACTAGCTTTTAGTAATTTAGTGCCACAGATTCACATAAATTATAGCTTAGATGTTAATCTGGGTTACAAATAATAATACTGTAAAGTTTCAACCAAATCCGTTCAGTAGTTTTTGCGTGAAAGAGTAACAAACATCCACAAAAACTTTCGCCTTTATAATATTAGTAGAATATAATTGCCCTAACTTAGGAAGCAAAGCTCAATGTTTTTAGAATCATAATATTTTGTAAGATACATTAATGTCTGTACTTAAACATTTGTTGCTTGTTTTTATATGCATGTACTTACTTTTGAATAAATAGATTTGTATTTGTATTTGTTTGTATTTGTAATTGTCGTTCGCTTATGAATAAAATTACTAGTAAAATAAAACGCAGAATTCATTAAAAATACTCTATTATAAAAATAAACCTAACTACACTCAATAAGAGTAGTTTTCGGGAGGGTGATGAGGGGGAAACGGCGGATGTCCGAACGGCGGCGGTCCTCGCGGCGGGAATTGGGGCCTGAAAGAGGGAGGAGGCGGTCTCCAGGGAGGGGGAGGTCTGGCCCCGGGCGGGGGAGGGGGTCCGAAGCCGGGGGGCCCGAAGGGGGGAGGGGGGAAGTGGTGGAAGGGGGGTGGGGGTGGCGGTGGACCAGGGGGAGGCGGTGGGCCTGGCGGAGGCATGGATGACGGCGGTGGAGGGGGTGCCGCCATTGGCAGAGGGGGCGGTGGTCGAGCCCCCATCGGTGGGCCTGGGGGAGGCATAGGGGTCGGTGTGGGCGGTGGAGGGGGCGCCATTAGGACTGGTCCCATCATCGTTGGAGGCGCGTCCGCGAAGAGCTGGTGAGGTCTGTCCGCGTGCGATAGAGGGTTCTGGGCGGCGAGCAATCTGGAAGGGATAAAGTTTTATAAGTATAACCCTATCTGAAAAATGCAATGAGATAAGGAAGAATATAGTGATCATAGTAATTTGGTCTTGGTTATTCAAAATGATAAGTAAGAGCTATAACAATTCAAGTTAATATCTTTGTGATGTCTTTTATTTTAATGGTACTATGGTTCTCAATGGAAGTTCCTCCTATACCTAGAATTAAATCACAGAAATAATACTATTATTTTACACATAGCTTTTACACTTATTTTAATATTTTTCTGAAAGATTTTAGGCTATTTACCATACCATGTGAGTAATATTTCATTCATTGTTTCTGTACAATTATACGGAATATTTATTTTAAATTGATCTACATTTAACAATAATATAAACAAGCAAAAAAACTCGTTACCTTTCTGCCGCAGAGCCGTGCCTCTCTCCTTTGACATCCTTCTTGAAGGCGTACGACACTGATATGGGCCTGTTGCATAGATACTGGTTGTTCATCGCTTCTATAGCAGCGTCTGATGCCTCAAATGATGCGAAGTTTATGAATGCGAAGGCCTTTGAATTGCCAGTTTCTGGGTCTCGCATTACCTGCAAAATAAAAGAAACAAAATTAGTATCGGTAAAGCAAATGTGGTAAGTTGATTATGACTTGTAAATTACACTATTAACTGTTAATGAACAGATAACATTTGCCATAAATTATGATTAAGAAGTGTATAGCAGAAATGTGAATTGAACACTTCAAATATTATAATATTATAAGTAATCCTATGGCTATTGATTCTAAATTCCATAGGCTGCTTACAGTAGTTTTATTAGGACTGGTAGCCAGCTGGCAAAATTGCAGTCTGGATGTCACAACTCAATTGCAGTTGGAATTGGAATGCAGTTTTAATGAATTCACACTAACCGGAAAGTAATTTAACTTACATTTTAGACAGATTACAGTTGGATCAATCACATCTGTCTGTAGCCTGCAGTTGTTAAAGCAGACCTGACAAAAATACTGTATTGAATTGAAGCTGTTCAACAATAATCAATAATTACCTTTGGTGTTTGTAATATGACTCCAAATGCAGAGAATGTGTCGTATAGTAGTTTTTCATCCACTTCCGGATCTAAGTTTCCTATGAACACATTGGCTCCTACATCTAAATTCTTCTGATGGGCAGATGCTTTGTTCACTCTTACTGGCTTGCCATAGAGTTTTATCATGTTCATCACCTGTGAAATAGATTTATTAAATGATTGGAAATGTGATTTAAAAGTAATGTCAAGAAAGTATATAAATTGGAGTCAGTTATAAAGGAGCAGCGAATTAGTGAATAAATTGAGTCACTTTTCAGTACAACAGTATAAAAACAGATAAACATCGACTGAATAAAAGTACATACTCATTTCGACAAAAATCAGTTTCATAAAATATTATAAATACTTTCCCCCTAACTAATAAAACTTACACGCTCGTTGAACAGTGTTTTAAAGTGACGTTTAGTATGGAAATGTCATTTTAAAACAGTGTTCAACAATTGTGTAACTACACTCGACAGCAAATAAATCGCACCACCCGCGACGCGAACTTTAAAGATTTTCTTTTGACACAATAATGGTGCCCCAACAATATTGGTGTTATTTGAAAGCCCAATAAATATCCTTAAAGAAAAACACATTTAATTTCTTTATAAATGATTAACATATACCATAAACGTGACTTGAAAAAAGACCTCACTTTGGGCTCACCTCTGGGATCAATTAGACCAAATTTTATGGTTATAAAACCAAATAATGATCTCACGTGTCCTCTTTAACAGATGGATAGCGATTAATCCCAACTTAACAGTTTTATAGCCATAAAAGTTGGCTTAAGCGTAACTATCTATTTTTTGAAGAAGTGACTCTGGATCCTTATAAAGAAACATTTTTGGGGTAAAAACCTTTCCTATAATGAAATGAAGTTTAGAACAAGGCTTTTGAATGGTACCAATATTGGTGTGAAGTAGGGGATGCATACGTTTGAAAGTGCTTGTCGCGGGTGGTGCGATTTATTTGCTGTCGAGTGTATTTATTAGTAAGGGGGTGTATTTTTAAACCCGTCAAAATCTTTGTGAGCCTAAGTTAGGTAGCAATAGGGTTAATTTTTATGTAAACTCATTTTTATAAAGATTCTCCCGCATCACTACTTTTACTCTTTTTCTTGCCAAGTTACAAAAAACTTTTGCTAGCAATTACCTTTATTGCATAATCAGCATCTTCCTCTCCCATGAATTCCACAAATCCATATCCTTGGTGAGTCTGTGTCACTCTATCCTTTGGCATATGCACATTCACTGGAAACAAAAATACCACACAATTAAAATACCACACAAATTAAATACCACTGCAAAGGCATAATACACAGCTATTCTATAACTATAGTCTATGTTTCAAAATTAAATCAAAATATCACCATAATAGTCATAGTAATTGCAAATTTATATCAAAATGTCTGATTGTAATCTTACCAACTGGTCCAGCTTGAACAAACAGTTCCCAGAGCAGGGTTTCCGAAACTCTGTCATCAAGGCCTCCCACATAGATGGTGGCATCTGGAAACAGATAATTGAATGGAAAAATAGTTAATTTATTAGAAATTTAAGGATATTAAGGTTGGCATCAACAAAATATTGAACCTAACCTCAAAAGCAAGAAACTCATCTGAAAAAGTCATCTTTAAGGATAGCGCAGGTGGAGATAATATTTTATAAAGACAGCCTTGGCATCGCTTATTATAATAAATAACATTTTGTAAGTTTAATTTATTAAATTCCATAGAAATTACCTTGATTTCGCTCAGCAATCGGTCCCGCTGCCATTTTATTGTGACAGCAGTTTTGACTTTGTTTTTTTTTATGGCGGCGTCATCATCATCGATAACGTTCGGAAATACGAAATACTCAACTTGAAACTAATTTATTCGACCATTGTGCGAGGGCGCTGTAATCGGCGGAGATAAAAATAAAAAAAGTTTTTTTCTTATACAGGCTGTCCCAAAAATAGGACGTAAATGTATAGCAGCAATTTAGTCTTGTTTGTGAAGACATCCTTATATTATGCACTAACTAATAATTAAGTAAGTTGTCTAAAAAACATATTTGACTAGACTAGTCATACTTATAAATGGTATGGTGAAGTCAGAAAATTGATATCTTCATTTTAATAAGTTTAATTTTCATACAAATCGGATTTTATAAAATTTATTTTGTATGAAAATTTAAAAAAAATAAATCATGATATCAAATTTCTGACATCACCATACCATTTATAGATGACCCACGCTGAACTGTCCCACCAAACTCAATGACAGGGGGGCGCTACCATCGTTCAACTATATGGTTTCCAACATGGCAAAAATCTGAACCAGCGATCCGGTATTGACGGTGGCGCCCCACTGTCAATGTCATCGACAGGACAGTCCAGTATTTTGGAACTATATATGCCTATCTATGTTAACATGGGCTAGTGTCGGCTCATACACCCATTTACCTAACACCCTGTATAAAAAAGGCCTTTCGACCACTTTTGACTGGTTGCGATTTTATTGTGCACATTCATAGCAAATTAATGTTGTGATAGTAGGAGTAGAGACATGAGATTTTTGGTTTTACAATTTACCAAAAAACACGAATTAAAATGTCGATTTTTTCATAATGTTACATTTTTTATTATTTGTCGTCATTTTCTGGATAGGCTTATTTTGTGTATTTTTTGTATCGCCTGTTATTTAGCAATATTGCTGTTTTTATATTATCGGGATGTACCTCTTAGTTTGAAAGTTATTATACGTTTTCTTTATAGCCTGACCAGGAACATAAAAACCCTCGCCATGTTGCGGAAAACTAATGGTACTAATTTCTTTTAATGGCAACAGTGGGTCTAGACAAAGTGCCATTATAATCGCAAACCAGTCGAAAAGTGGTCGAAAAGCCCCTTTTTTGTATGGAATTTGACGGATTCGATTTTCGATTCGATCAAAAAGTGCGTTTTGTCTAGGGGGGCNTATGTATGTATAGATTATTGTTAGACTTAAATAAAAATTGATGAATAATAAAATACTTCCTACTAGCTCGATTGATAGTTTCATTTAATTTATTTAAACCAGGTTACCTATAATAATATTTTTTCGTTAATTTATGAAAATATCAAATTAGCCCGTAATCCTGAATCCTGATACATAAAGTTAGCCTATTAATTTAACACAGGTACGACTGTACTTAGTGTTGCACTATCAAATGCAATTGACGCGCCTCTATGCCAGGGTTTTTATGTTCCTGGTCAGGCTATACAATAAGTAATTGAAAGGAAAAAAACTATAAAAAAATCTGATAATTTTGGTCATTTTTTCCGTCAATAAAAATAGGTCGTTTCATCTATTTTCGTTTGTGCACTTCATCAAGACTCACATTGTATAGCTGCTCTGCCCGCTTTTTGTCACGAGTCATAAATTAATTTAATCATTTGATAATTAATTGATTCCAATCGATAACTTAGTAAGTAAATACAAAATTCAAATTCAAACCCTGTTTCTAAACGAAGAGATGGATGTCATTGTCACTGTCAAAAAAGTTTTCATCAATCGAGTCGAGTGAAAAACGAGCGAAAGAACAGTCGTTTCTCGCAAATATTTTTGTTGTTCTTGGCTTTGTATTTTTCCATCGTTGTGAGTTTATTTTCTAAAACAATGCAAAGCGCTTCAGATGTGATATCATCTTTGTTTTGGTTTAAAGAAGATCCGGACGATGAAGATCGAGAACCGCAAATAATAGAGCAATTCGTGCAAAATGTTGAAGATTTTAGTTCGCAGTACGGAAGCGAAATCAGTGTTTCGTATACCGCTTTCAATCTTCGTGGGCCACCTTCGAACTTTCCAGATTATGGCGACTATCCACAAGCTTTTGTAATGGTAAGTTTTATTTGGGAAAAAGTGTAGCATTTTGTTTAAAAGTATTCAGAGGTCAGGGTTTTTTGTTTATTTATTTTGTTGTTTGTTTTGCTACCTTAATCGAGCGCAGTGCCTACACAAATACCTAGTTTCCTATCAATCTGAACAGTTTTTATGTACACCGCTGTTAAAAATTCTATTAACTATTGAAAATTACGATAATTCTAGGTTCATTTATCAAAAGCTGTGTTGTCCATAGCTTTAAACCAAATCTGTATTCTTATTAAAAAAAGTAGGCATAAATCTTTCCAAGCAATGCTTCATGTTTGCTGTGTCCTAAATTCCAATTTTCTAGTAATTAGTCAAGATGAAAAAAATTATATGAAAGTTTTAAATAATGTGTGTAACTATTTATCAGCGAACCTACGGCACATGGTGGGAAGAAGCCCCTTCCGCTCAGAAGGACTACATGCCCCAGAACAGCAGTGCCATAACCAGCCAGGATTTTGTAGGTGTGTATGCAATTTATTTTACTGGAAAACAAAATATTCCTGTGTCTGTATGTTGTATATAAAATAAGAAAATCACAGTCATTCATAGCCAGCCAGTGTTATAAAAACCATGTTACTGACTTACCAGAATCTCTAGCATCTGCAGTGTGAAAGCCATTATTGATTTGTGTGTACCTAATGTATTTGAGTAAGTATAACAATACATGTTTGTGTGAAAATTGTTCAGGTATTACTATTAAATGGTGATTTTTGAATGAAAATTACATTAAAATTAGGTTCATTTATACAATGTGTTGGTTCTAACATGTAATTATTCTTACTGAGATACCAAAATTACATCTACAAGCTTAGTACACAGTTTTGTCTCTGTATAGCTTATGTAGGCATAGACAAACATTAGGTCATTCTGTTACTTATCTAATCAATGATAAATGATTCACTTGATCTTGGAAAAATCCTGAAAACTATTAAAAAAAAAAAGGTGAGATACAGGCCAAGAGCTTCCTCGTTGTGTATAAAAAAAAAAAAAAAAAAAAAAAAAATGGTTAAAATACCTATATTTATGGCTATGAATGACATACACAAACTTACAACATATTTCTGCCTGCATTATGTGGGTGTTTCTGCTACGAATTTATGGATTTTTCCATTCATTATGTAAATATTTGGTTTGATTGTAGCCTATAACAATTGCTTTCTGATAGTTCACTGTAAAAATACTTTGGCATTAGAATGGACAATAGGGGTGAAAAGATAATGACTAATAATAGTTAAGACTTAGGCTGAGTTGCACCAACTTACTTTGACCGTAACTTTAACAATAACCGGTGCTTTTTGTATGGAGTTGTACAGATTTTTTACGTTTGTCAAAGTTAAAGTAAGATGGTGCAACCCAGCCTTTGTATTTTTTTGCTTGAACAGTTTTTGGTGGTAATTTATTGTTGGTTGAAGTCACGAGACTACAAACACGAAGTTACAATCCTTTTGAGAACTTAAACAGTCCCCCAAGTGGTTGTATTAAGGCAGCCCAAAATGTTTCCCTATTTTCATTAAGTTTTTTCGAAACAAAGAAACAGTTTCCCATTAAAGGAGTGTTTTCAGAGGTGTTGAGGAAAAAAACTCAAAGTTCAAAGTTTTTGAAGCTTTTGTCCGGCTTCAGCAATTACTGTTATGGTAACCATATACCGTGAGTGAGAGGGGTGGAAGCTTCCTTTCTCGTTCTCTCTGCTCAGTACCGGATTTACCGCAAATTATGCAATTGCTTAGTTATGGCATCATGTCTTGGGGGTCATCGTGCGGGTCATCTATAAAAACTACAAATATTCCACGAATTTAAGACATGTACAAGTCGCTATTCGCATTTCAATTTGCAATCATTATACGTTATTTTTTCTAAACAACGATAGTAGGATAAGTTAAGAGGGTTATGCCCGTTTTCACCATCAATCCCTAATTTTTAAGTGACCCCTATGGGTACAAATTAATTTTGTTTTTATAGAGGGGCCACTTAAAAATTTGTCACATAGGTATGGATTGCTTAGGGCTAGGGCATTAAGTTCGTCTAAGGCCCAGAACAGACGTGAAATGCAATTGCAACGAAACTGCTACTGCTAGTTACTTTTGAGTTGCATCTAAGTTTCTGCCATAGCGTCCGTTGAGAGACCACACATGACGCGACCAGTTTGAAACCGATTTGAACTGGTCAAACTCAAAAGTAACTAGTAGTTGCAGTTTCGTTGCAGTTGCGTTTCACCGTGTGATCTGGTCTGGGCCTTAATCCAGCACTGACTAAGTTCTGTCGTTCCACCTTGCAAACAACGTTGCTTTCGGCAGAAGTGTCGTTTGAGCGAGCAGTCTACCCGATGGAGGTGTCAGTCTTCGAGACATACAACCCTGGTGCCCTGGTCCGCATTTGGGCACGGGGACCGACATCCTGGACCCTGCTGTGGGAAGGAGAACCGGAGTATGTTGGTGACACGCCCAGGATCTTCAGCCCGCCCATCAGACAGATGAATGCTCCGACCAGGTAAAGAAACAGATTCTAAGTAGACATCAGGGATGTTATGGATATCCGTAAGCATAACCGAAACTATCGGATATTCGAAATAAAAAAAATATCCGTAATCGTAACCGAAACCGATTCAAAAGTTTCGGATAAAGACGGAGTCTAAATCTTAATATTTTTTACTTGTCTGGCATCCCCTGGCACCATTCTGATATACCCTGCCTGTTTTGCCTTTATCATAGGTACCGTCATAGAACATAAAGTGGTTGTGTGTCGCGCAGCATCTTGCTTATTAAAAATATGCGAAACTGAAATTATCCGAAACTTTCGGATAATCCGAAATGATTAACTATTCGCAACCGAAACCGGTATAATATTATTCTAATATACGTAACCGTATCCATATCCGAAACTTCATATCCATAACATCCCTGGTAGACATCACTTATTATCGGTTATTTCCGCTATGCACCACTCTTAAATTAAAATACCCACGAAATAGTGCAGCTATGTGCCACATTCTTTGTATTATATGAGTAGTTCATATCGGAATCGCTTTGGCCACAATGGTGTCACGACCTTGGTTGATAACAAACTTTATGAGGCTTCTGACATGGTTCTATTATATCGACCGACTGCTTAACGCCTTCCGAAACAGGGAAAGTGTTTTTGGAAAGGCAGGTGGATTGATTTGAATTCCGCAAAAAAATAATAATCTATACTTATAATAAATCTGTAGAGAGGTCAATTCTGTACATGAAATATATTTTCAAAATAACTATCAGGGGGTGATTAGTGATTGATACTGATGTCAAAAATGCAATCAGTAAAATTTTTGTCTGTCTGTCTGTCTGTCTGTATGTTCCTTATAGAAACAAAAACTACTAGACGGATTTTAACGAAACTTGGTACAATTATTCTTCATACTCCTGGACAGGTTATAGTATACTTAGGAATTCCCACGGGAACGGGAATTAGCGGGAAAATCCTTTTGTATGAAAAATCTAAACCGCTTAAGTTAGACGCTTGAAATTTGGCATGCAGGTAGAATAGTAAACTTAAAGCTTAGTTACAACAGGATATTGCAAAATTCCCACGGGAACGGGAGTTAGCGGGAAAAAACATTTGTATGAAAAAATCTAAACCGCGTAAGATAGATGAAGGGGGTAAAACGGGATCCACGCGTACGAAGTCGCGGGCGGCCGCTAGTTACATAATATTTTCCAATTATCATGTTCTTTATTTTAGAATCAAGTGTTTTAGCGTAACAAACACGAAAATATAATTTTCCTTTGATCAAAATTAATTGAATGAACTTCAACTGTTTCAGACTCGTAACTGTTTTCAACCGACTTCAAAAAAAGGAGGAGGTTCTCAATTCGACCCGTATGTTTTTTTTTTCTATGTTTGTTACGCGATAACTCCGCCAATTATGAACCGATTTGCACAAATCTTTTTTCGGCATATAGGTAATACCTCAAGGGTGGTCCCATTTAAATTTCATAATAAAAAAAACAACCCCCAAGGGCGGAAAATTGGGGATGAACTTTTTTATACGCAATATTTCCGCCGATTATAAACCAATTTGAACGATTATTTTTTTATTGAATAGGTATTATCAAAAGAGTGGTTTCATGCGAATTTGAAGAAAATATTTCATCCCCAAGGGTGGAAAATTGGGGATGAACTTTTTTATACGTAATATCTCCGCCGATTATGAACCAATTTGAACGATTACTTTTTTGTTGAATAGGTATTATCAAAAGGGTGGTTTCATGCGAATTTGAAGAAAAACTGGTCATGGTAGGTACAACTCCTTAATGCTTAGGAGTTGTAGGATAATTTTTTAAATATTATAAGTACAAATAGACCAACAGTTGTATTTTTTCATGTTTTTAAGGTGGGCTGACGGTTTAAGGTCTTTTTAGGTTTCCTATATGGTAGCCTGTATTTTGTAGGGAATATTATTTTACACTAGACATGAAGAATATGGTCTCTACTGCCTACCTTCAGTGGTAACATCAAGGTAATAATTAGTTGACTAAAAAGCAAGAAATAAGTAAAATTTTATTTAAAAAAAAATACCGACTCCAAAAAACCTACACTAAAAAGTAGAAAAATAATTACTAAGTACCTACTTATTTATTAGGACGAATTATTAATATTTATGTAGGTATACCATACCCCCAAGGGTGGAAAATTGGGGATGAACTTTTTTATACGCAATATCTCCGCCGATTATGAACCAATTTGAACGATTATTTTTTTGTTGAATAGGTATTATCAAAAGGGTGGTTTCATGCGAATTTGAAGAAAAACTGGTCATGGTAGGTACAACTCCTTAATGCTAGGAGTTGTAGGATAATTCTTTAAATATTATAAGTACAAATAGACCAATAGTTGTATTTTTTCATGTTTTTAAGGTGGGCTGACGGTTTAAGGTCTTTTTAGGTTTCCTATATGGTAACCTGTATTTTGTAGGGAATATTATTTTACACTAGACATGAAGAATATGGTCTCTACTGCCTACCTTCAGTGGTAACATCAAGGTAATAATTAGTTAACTAAAAAGCAAGAAATAAGTAAAATTTTATTTAAAAAAAAAGTGTGGTGCAGGCAAACTTTACATGTTTCATAATCTTGGCACCGACTCCAGAAGTATCAAACATGGTATACCTACATAAATATTAATAATTCGTCCTAATAAATAAGTAGGTAATTAGTAATTATTTTTCTACTTTTTAGTGTAGGTTTTTTAAATTTAGTCACGACGATAAAAATATGCAACTAAATGTCCCCTAACCAATTACGTTACCCCTTTTCACAACATGACTCAGTCGGGGCAATGAAAACAAATAATTTAGGCACAGATGATGGTACAGTCAATGTCAAAAAAAGGTGACAACACAATCCTATTGTAACAAAGACGTGTTGCGAACTTTTTGGCTACTTTGGGTGTCACGAACTACATATTTGAAGCTGACTGTATTTACCTACATCTTACACTGTATTTGTGATAGGTTCTGTTTTACAATAAAATGTAATCCTCTAGTCTGGTGTTGTGGCGACAGTAAAAGTTTTTATACTTACAGAAAACATGAGAATAAAATCAGACAATGAGATGAGAATATCATGAAGAATATCAAGAATGCATGGTAAATTCAGTGAACTGCTCCTGAATCGAATGTACCTACTACTACTATTTCTATTTATTTATATTAACCGGCAGACAGTGGTGACTGAGTTTGTTGCGGCGCTTCTTCTCAGCACTTGCCAAATGTTGGTCTCGAAGCGCTGGTAGGGTAAAAAGATTATGAGACATTTAGAGGCTCCTTAAGAGCAAAATGACGATTTGTAAGAACTATTTATTAGTCCAAACAAATAAAGAAATTTTGACTTTGACTTTGACATGAAAAAAACATTATTTTAATAACTAAGGTCAAATGCCAACAGACGGTCGCATTCGTCAAAACATTATTCTGTTTTATTATAATAACAATTCCAATAATATCTCATTTTGAATTACTGAATATTATCAATTGCTTTTGTTTACGAATTCTAGTCTTGCGTAATTATATGAAATAAACTAGCTGTGCCCGCGACTTCGTACGCGTGAAAACTCATTTTCGCAACATTTTTCATTGTTGCTCTGCTCCTATTGATCGTAGCGTGATGTTGTATAGCCTATAGCCTTCCTAGATAAATGGGCTATCTAACACTGAAAGAATTTTTCAAATCGGACCAGTAGTTCCGGAGATTAGCGCGTCCAAGTATACAAACAAACAAACAAGCTCTTCAGCTTTATAATAGTAGTACAGAAGTACAGATTCTTAAGAAACATTTCTTAATAAAAACTCATAAAACTCATTTATTTCTGTAAGTAGGCTTTAAAAAAGCACTTTTACACGTCCCAGTATTAACCCTACCACTGCTTCAGGACAATAAATGGGCCAGTGCTGAGAAGAAGCAGCGCAAGAAACTCGGACACTATTGTCAGCCTCTTTTTCAAAGGTTTACAGGTTTTCAAAATACATAGTTATAAATATTTATGCGAACTAGGCTAACTAGTTACGCATCCCAAACATTTTTATCTTTTAATAATCATCGACTTTATAGTAGCCCTTTTTCATTAAGGTACTTTTAATATGTGCTTTGAATTTATGAATGGGTAGTTCTACAACAGTTTATTTTAATTTATTATTATTACAGGATACTAAGGCTGGAGTTCAACCACAAACTATTGCCGTACTACACTGAGTTAGACGCTGTGTTACTAAAAGGCAGGGAGCCTCCGAATCTAGTCCGAATGAAGAACAACTTCTCTTACTCGTCGCTATTCTTCAAGAAGACTCAGCCAGTTGTCGAAAAAGGTATGAATGAGTATTTGGAACCGTTTTTAAATGTTATTTTATCACCATGGTGCAAGGCATTACTAAACATAAAAGCTGTCTTTAGACGTATTTTCTATTTTTTTTAATTCAAATCCGTACATGAATCACTTCTTTCGACAGTCGGTTAATAAGCTTACAATTCCCTAATAAACTAATATTAAAAAAACCTAAAGGTTATTTCCTTACGTAATTTCCGTATTATCGGATTTAGCATACGAGATGCGTGCATGAGCTCCAGTAAATGGCGATGATAGATAGACCAAAAACACAGAAACGGCATCAGGGAATATTATTATCTGCATAAGACTGTATAGGGCCTCATAGGCGCTTATGATTGGTGAGATTTCATAAAATATGTGATTGTATTCAAATGCTTCAAGAATGTCTTCTATTCGTCAACTTATCGAATATTTATGATTATTTCGACATTTTTGCAGCTGCTGAATTGATTTCAACTGTCTTAAAATGGGACAGAGTAGAATTGATTTGAAGCCGTGATATTTGAAGGATTTTTTGTAAAATTGTTTTTATTTAAACATTTTAAAACATTAGTTATCATTAAAACCTAGATATGAGTAAAATGACGCGAATCTATAGTTAATGCTAAGCAATAAATAGACAATCGCCCATTAGGCCAAGGTTGAGTTTTTTACCTAACTACCATTAATATTCAGTAACTTATGGAACGTACGGATATACGGAACGAAAATGTAAGTCTGGGTGTAAAATTTACTAAGACTTAATATTTTCCCCGCCTAGTTGTCGTAACAGTTATGTCAAAAGGCTTGGATTATTGTATCACTTAAGAAAAGAAGAAGGGACTCAGTTAGAACTCAAAATTGATGGTGTTGGAACTCCTTGGTAGAGCCGATAGTCGTTAAGTTGCTATCGGTCAATACAAAATTACATACTCTATTTGTGAGACAGCTAGACTCCTCTATAAAATATTTAACAGCTGGACTTATCTTTTTTTTTATGATTTCTGATCTTTTCATCCTCATTAAAGCAAAATTACTTCCCTTTCTATCAAATAGGTTTATCTTAAGTTCTTTTTTTTGACGTTATAGCGGAAATTAAGGCAAAAGATTAGCATTCTATTTTTAAGTGTTTGTAATTTTTTAAACATAGAATTTTAAAAATAAATTATCGCTTCTCGATTGCTGTAGCGTTAACGATAGCGATCACGAGATCACGTTCAAGGCCGCGTTTACATAACAACACGGGCCGGTCTTCGATTGCATTTTTAATTGCATCGTTGTTTACTGCCGTGTTTTGTTTTTTTTTCACTAAAAAGGTCGTTGTAGAAAAAGATAACAGAAAATATTTTAATGTTTGCGCTGTGTTCTTTTGTTATTGTTCTCCGGTGAACAATTTTATTTCGCTCTTTTTATCTTTTACATTTAATTTTTAAATAAACACGTCAGTTTATAAGTGCGTTTGTAAATTTATTTTAATTTATTATTTACATTAATGCATTAAAAGTGCTTTAGAAAATATAGTACCTAAAGTGGATCTAGGTACTATATGAAATATCATGAAAAGATTGCATTGTTTCCACTAGTAAAGTATTCGCCCCATTACGTCTCACGCTTTCAGTATCTGGCAAATACATTTTAAATAACATACTTAAAACAATGTGAATAGATATTAAAAAAAACTACTTTCTAATTCCACGTCATTGCTTACGCTATCTTGTTACACACGTCACTAATTAGCCGACGATTCTTCCTCACATCACAATCAACATTACACAAGCGCCTTTGTTCGCAGGCCAGTTGCTCAATCGGATCATGGCGTCGAATCTGCACGAGGCTGTGGTCCCGCCGACTTTAGCCGCGAACTTGAACCGTATTGACACAGGCCCGCCGCTAGGGGATTTCCATCGGCTGCCGGTAAGTTTTAAGAGTTATATTATAATGTAGATCACTTATTTAAATAAATGTAAACTTCTTAAGGCCCGGTTTCTACCAAAGTGGACAGGAGATGAGAGGAGATGTTTTTGAATACTTCCGAACTGAAGCTGAGCGGAGAGGAGATGTGGGAATACCGAAATCTGATTGCTTATACAAAACACATCTCCTCTTGTGTCTTTTCTTCTTCGCTTTAGTGGAAACCGGGCCTTACGCCCGTATTCACAAACGATGCTTGCTTGATTGAAGCAGAAAATCGAACACACAGCGTTGAATAGAGCTCTTGAGATTGGTTCGTGTGTCACCCTGTGCGTCCACGCGCACTGTGAGACCTCATAGAAATGTTTGTGAATACGGGCGTTACTCTCACCTGGTTTTGAGATTCAGGTTGGGTAGAATAGGACTACCCACTTTCTTCTCGTGAATGTCGTAATAGTCGACTAAAGGAGAATTATGCGAATATAAGGCTTCGCCAACCCATCTGGTCAGTGTGGGGAAGAAAGGCCAAATTCTTATTTGGTCTCTGGCTTAGAGAGGGCCGTGTTCTCGTGTTCCTACATAGGAAACTAAATGACCGGATAGTGAAAAAACCAAGTTACCCACCTCTAACACCCTGTATGACCCATTATGTCGTTTAGGATCGCCCCTCCCACTAACAATCTGTTTATATCTAGACATACGCCGGACATCTCTATTTATATCTAGACAGCAGTAATCATAAACTATTTGACGTCTATGATGCACGGTAATAAATCCTCTGGTGGAAGCGCGCCAACCCTGACCTACGGTAACTCAGTCGTGTCACCATAGGTCTTAGCATAAAACATTCTTCACGTTTCTACGAATGTAGAAGTAGGAATTTTATTATTATTATTTTTTATGAGGTTTTGCGTGTTTTACATTGCATTTTGCTATAATTTGCAGAACAAGCGTGTATTGCGATAAGATTGTTTTACGGCTATTTTATGTAAAAATCTATAATTTTATACGACTAAGTAGCCTGATATAGGGAAAAAATGTGTCTAGTACGAATTATTACTAATGATGATGATGGAGATATCCCCTTCTGTAAGTAGGGCTTAAGAATAAACTAATTAATAGTTTAAGTGCATTTAATTTCTATCCAAGGTCAGCTTGAATAAGCCTAAGCTTGTTAGAAATTAGTAATTACGCATTAAGTATACATTAGTCAACTGCTTAATTGATGCTGCTGGTATAATTATATCGAAGCAATGATTTATGTTTGTTCTTATCTGTATGAACTGTCACTATTCGCCTATCCCAATACGATGTTATTGCGACTATATTTCTTTATCTAGCTAGTGGTCATAATGATTTTATTTACATATTTTTATCATGAAGAGATTTTCTTTGTTATATTTCTCAACCCGTCTGGCCAGAGTGGGAAGTGGAGACCAAATTAAAACCAAAGAATGTGCAGACTTTATAATGACACTGTCACTGAACACTCTTCTTTGGACATATTCTGTTCTAAGCTGTCCAAATTCAGGAGAGATATCCTGAATATAAAGTCAAGTTGTCCTTTGTAAACTTTAATAACACTTATTAACATTAAATACTAAGCATAAAATAAGTTAAACTAACACTACTTACCCTCTTTATTTCATCATTTTCAATTCATTCTGTGCACACATGTTTAGAGTTGCGGTTTGGATTAATCTATGGAATATTATCTGTGCCTGAATATGACTGTAACTTGTTTTGTGAGCCTTAAATAAATAAATAAATTCTCCACTTGTCGCTGGTAAACTGGAGAGTGGTGTTCCTGCAGTGAATACTAATGACCTGATTATGATGAAAATAATCGATACACAGAACATCATAGTAATAGAAAGATTTGAGCCTTTGTATCTTCACTATAATCTTATAAAAACGCATAAAAATATAAACACAGGGAAAATTACTTGTTACATAATAGAAAACTCTTTGTTACACAGGGGGCCTACTCCAAACGCTGTTTACGTAGTTTCGGGTTTATATGTCATCGTCGCCCATGCTGGCATCTCACTTTGTGTGAGATCTTCGAGAGGGATGGCAACATTACAAACTTCGGATAATGTTTTTCGGAGTAGCCCCACGAATTCCATAAGATCACGTGACTCACGTGTCGCAGTCGCTCGATAATATTTATTGTTTTATTTTTATTTTGCCATAGACGAAAGGGCAAACGGGCGTTTGGGTCGCCTGACCTTTGAGTAATGTAGGTACAGAAATAATTGGATAATAAAGAATTAATTGATGTTGACCTTAATGTTTTTATTGTTATTGAAGAGCTGCCTAGTTGAAAATTTCACGGGTCACCGGGCTGATCTCATAAACCGTGATTCACAGATGATGTTACAGATATGAACAACAAAAATGCTAAAAATAGAATAAAATAAATATTTAACCGTACTTTTTGCCGATGGTACAGTTCGCCGAAAAATCACTCCTACAGTGATTTCCTTACGAACTGGGACAACATACAATGATCATAATTATGGTGTCCTCACTTTAAATGTAAGCGATGCTATGCTATGCTGTTATGGGATGGGTTTACTCCGAAGAGTGCTAAATAAAACGGCATAGTTTGGGTGCTACTCATACATTGATTTCTTTTCCAGGATGAAACAATACTATGCGTGATGAAGTACCTGGACATACAGTCGTTGTGCCGATGCGCTCAAGTGAACAGGCACTTCAACAGGCTCGCATCGGATTCCATTCTGTATCGCAGCATCGATCTTCGGCCATATTGGCATTGTGTGCAGTCACAGGTGAGAATAGAATCAAAGGTTGACTAGGAGAGAATCGACTAAGTTCGCCTTTCGTACTCTAACGTAAGTGTAATAATTATGAATTTAGGTATTTCAATTTTTGGATAGCTTTTTAGTTTTAACTTATGAATAAATTATTCCGAAATCCTGCAACAAAATAAGTTTTGCTTCTTTTGTTTTAAAAAAAAAAAAACAAAATAACACCCAATTTGTATTGGTTGGAAGTTAATAGGACGAACGTGTGGTGGGAGAATCACTGAACTAGCCGAAGCCAGAAGCATGCATTGATGACTAACAGTGGATTGAAGTATGATAATATTCATTCATTATGTACCGTCAAAAGCTTGTAAAATTATAAATATTATTTGCAAAACAGGTCCTAATACAACTACATAAGATGCAGCCGTTTTAGCGTCGTCTGTATTTATTTATTTGTATTAGATGGAAACTTCTGTCACGTGGCTCTGCCTTATTTGGGAATTCGTATTACTTTGTTACTGTGTCCTTGACATTCAACTACACGTGTGTATTGTGATTTATAATGAATATTACAAGATTCGGTATTATGGAGAAATAAGGTGATTTCATAGCGTTACAAGGTTGATCGGATTGTGAAGTTCATATTTTTACGGATTGGGTCTTTTCCCGGTCTTATGCCTTCATATTGCTGTAACTTTAGATTATTATTACTAGCGGCCGCCCGCGACTTTGTACGCGTGGACCCCGTTTTACCCCCTCAGGGGTGGAGTTTCGTAAAATTAGTCTGTAGTAGATGTCTACTACACCCTATAAGGAACCTACCTGCCAAATTTCAAGTTTGTAGGTTTTATTGTTTCTGAGATTTCGTTATTAATCAGTATATTCCGCGATTATAAAGTCTTGACATGTTCCATTGTTATGATAATATCTCCGTCATTGATTAGTTGCCAACTTTTTTTGACCTTATGACTATGTCTGATAATGCTCATTATCTCATAGCCTCACGTGAATGCCTCAAGGTCTCGAACATTGAATCTTTTGTTCTTCAAAACGACTATTTTTGGCAAAACAATCTATCTTAAATAAGTTATAGGAGACTGTTTTACAAAGGTTTATGCAAATAAATACTATAAGCGTCTTTAAATAATACTCTTATTTAAAAGTTTACTAGTTTTGACGAAAATAAGTTGCACTATAAAGACTAAAAAAAGCAGAAACATTAAAAGTTTTTTTTTACAATCGATTCCTATTTCGAACGTCTCGATGACTCTTTTTTTTCTTAAACCAGTTTAGAGAATAAAGGTTAAATTAAACCCGTTTAATTTCCAGATAACGTGGTTTGTTTGGAATCATAGAAAAGCATGTAAATAATTATAATTGCTCAATTCATTATACAACATGATAAAAATGTCTGATCCGTTCTGGGTGCTTAAATGCAACAACTTTTTGTATGACATCATATAAAACATAAAAATAAAATAAATTATGACAATGGTGGGTCGTTACATTTACCGAGACATGGCCTCCATTTGAGTTTTTATTTACTCACTCGTATTTTTATAGATTCTGCGACAGTTATAACATAGTATAATAGCCCGCTGGAAAGTCAAATAATATGTGCTTGGGAAGTGTATTCATCATCATAATTTCAGCCATAGGACGTCCACTGCTGAACATAGGCCTCCCCCAATGCTTTCCATGTTGATCGAAGATGTTGATGGAAGTGTATTAATGTCCTGAAAAGGGTGTGATAAAGAATTTTAATAGTCAATATCTATATTGCATTCCATTCATTCAATTTATCACTTCGATGAACAATAAAGTGTTAAACAATGAAAGATGATGACATATTTACTATGTTTGCAGGTTCTAGTCACATTGTCGATGCGATGCAAGTTCCTACAGAAGTTGGATCTTTCCTGGTGCGGCAGCCATCGCATGATCCAACCCAATTACGTGGTCAAGTAAGTACGTTGATGACAAAGAATTAACGATTTACCTTTTAATTGAGGCTACTATAAACAGTGGACAACAAAGTCGGGTTGACTAGTTTTAAAAGTCTGTTGGTGTGAGTGCGTCTAAACTTTTGACAATGACTGATTTTGATAAAGTAATTGTTTGGCCAATTAGTATTTTAAACGATATGGAAGGCGCTAGAAACTGGAAATATCGATCTCATTTCTAATAAATAATGTCTATTAGAGTCGTATTTCGCCCTTCTTAGCTAGGTTCACACGTGTCTACGTATGTATAACGAATCCTGCACGTGTACGGGATTAAAAGAACGCTCTCACTAATCCATCAACTGTCCGTTTTTGAAACTTACACAAAGGCTGGAAGAATTAAAACATACATAGAAAATTCAATACGTAGATACTGAATAGGAATACTCAACGTCATTTCATAGTCAGAAAAAATCAGTTGGGCTGCTAATCATTGATACACGTTTGTTTACAACTGATGTAAACAATGCCTTTGCAAATTGCGTTTCTATGATTGCTAGTTTAATTGTCGACACATTATGTAGCTTATATTGATGAGTTCATGGTGTTTTACATTGTTATTTTCAAAGTTAAAACGCAATATGCTTAGGGGTCAGTGGATCTAAAATATTGATTTTTTATGTTTCATCTGCTTCATAATAAGTCCAGACAAACATAGTATGAACCAAATATTAGGGATGTTTGCTTTCCTACGTCTGTAATACTGTCTGTAACGCTTTCAAGCCTAATCCACTGAACCCATTTTGGTGAAATTCGGTACGGAGTTTCAGTCCTGGCAAAACACATTTAAGATAGTTTGTATCCCGGTTTTTGACATAGGGCCTATAGCACGATAAAGTCTCTCTGTGACAGACAAAATTTTACGCGGGCGAAGCCGCGTGCTAAACCTAGTGATAATAAAAGGTACATTTTAGACCCATTGCAATTTTTGTTTTGATTATTATATTTAAATCAAGGTAATATTGTTTCACAGTTTGCTACGAGACAGTGGGGCGGAATTAACACATCTCCGGATGAATTGCTGCAAATTCGTTGACAACTCGGTGCTAAGAGCTATTATTGACACTTCTACTTGTTTACAAGGTTAGTTAAATATTTGTTGGCGTTGTTGCTATTTGCTTTTTGTCAATATTAGATTCGTTCGTTCGTTTCAGCCGAAAGACGTCCACTGTTGGACAAAGGCCTCCCCAATTATTTCCACAAAGACCTCAAGAAAAAAGTCTTTGACCAGTGTGTGTTGCCAGTGATGGTATACGGATCTGAGACGTGGTCGCTTACTATGGGCCTCATATGAAGGCTCAAGGTCACCCAGAGGGCGATGGAGCGTGCTATGCTCGGAGTTTACCTGCGTGATCGAATCAGAAATGAGGAGATCCGTAGGAGAACCAAAGTGACTGACATAGCTCGCAGAATCGCTAAAATCAAGTGGCAGTGGGCTGGGCACAAGCTCGTAGAGCTGATAGCCGCTGGGGCAGGAAAGTTTTTGAGTGGCGACCACGAACCGGAAGACGTGGCGTGGGCAGGCCTCCCACTAGGTGGACCGACGATCTGGTGAAGGTCGCGGGAGGTACCTGGATGCGAGCGGCGCAGAATCGTTTTTGTGTAAATACAATATTAGATTACTCTGTGGATATTGTAGTAGGTACAGAATGAAAACATTTTCTAAAAAATATCAATGATATTATTCAGAATTATTCATTTTACTGATTCAAAGATGTTGAATATGAAATGCTTCGTATTATATTGAATATTTAACTTCTTGATTTATAGGTACAGAATAAAAAATAAATAATATTGATTTATTCGTCTGTAAAGGATCTGTCACATTGGATGCGGTCTGCGGTCAAAGTAAACGCAGTCCGCATTATGTATGAACTTTAGAACTTATAGAATGTGCCAAATCCTTAAGACTCAGATATTCAATTTAAAGAACTTTATTTTTTTGCAATTAAATAAAAATGTAAAGGGTTTTACCACATTAAACATACTTGATATTGTTTCTATTCTCATTTACCATAATGACGTTGATATATTATTTTTGATTATTCTATTCGCAAGTACTTACTTTAGTCCCAAGCTAATATTTTTAAAGTTTATATCAATATGTAATATTCGAACTCTACTTGTCATTGGGTCATGAAGCGTACATGCAAATTTAGATATTATGATACAAAAACAATACTGTTTTTGTCTGGCGGTCGCAAGACATGAATACTGGCCATTTTGAATTATTTCATATTTTATTCTAATCTTTAACTTTGAATTACAGAACTCTGTCTGCGGTCTGTCGTTGGCTGTACAGACTGGATGTGCCTCTCTGCCTTGAAGAAGCTGAAACGCCTGGATCTCTACAGAACTAATATAACAACTTCTGCAGCGGTGGCTATTATCAGATCTAATCCGGGGCTGCAGCATCTTAATGTTGGTACGCATTGGATTTTGTTTCTTATCTCTATAGGTTTAAGGGTAACATTTATGTTGCATGTCTTATGCATAAAACAAGGGAGATATGCTTGCGCATAAAGAAAACGCAGCCTATATAATTAAGCATCCCCCATTGACTTAATCAAGTTTAATACCTAAATAATTTACGCAATCAAAATACGCCATGATCACTACAAAATCCAAGGTATTTTATCAGGCTCTTTCATGGAGGTGTAGTACTCATAAACCCCTTAAAACTTCCAAGTCGATCTATTTTATCTCACTCACAGAGAAAAGAAAATTAACCGCCTTAAGAACGAAGTCCTTTTTACACCAAGATTGTGACCTCAGTAGTTTCATTCAACGCACACAATAGAAAAGCTAACCTTACTAATATTTAATATCAAAATTCCAGGTTCATGCAAAATGATATCCGCAATGGACGAAGTGGCGATGGAGTTAGGTGCAAATTGCCCTGACCTGATTTCAGTAGACTTCTGGAAGTCTTACTCGCTAACTCCAAACGGAATCAGAGCGCTTGGGAACTGCAGGAATTTGCAGGAACTGGATGTTGGATGGTGGTATGTTACATTACGTCTTATCTTAATCTTAGTAAAGGGAAAGGAAATGCTGACAAAGACTTGGCCGAGTAGACTAGACTAATATAGACACTTTATGTTGATGCCCAGTTTCATGAAAGAAGGAAGAAAATGAACAACATTGGTTGTTGACAATAGTAATCAGTAATACCGGAAAAACTATTATTTGAATACATATACTCTTTCTTTTTACTATTATGTGGAAAACACCATGCTGTTTATAATAGTCACAACATGTTGCTCGCTGGGTATCCGGCTCGAAGGACCATTTTTAAGTAAAGTAGAGCTTATCCTCTTTATATCCAGTAGTTCAAGTATAGTCAAATAATCAAGAATTCATTTCCTTTCCAGCCTCCAAGCGGGTGGTTCAGGCGAGTGGTTGGCATGGCTATCCGGCGGGGAACTTCGCAAGCTGTTCCTTGGAGCACTACGGGGCGTCTGCGATAGGGACTTGCGAGCGTTGCTGCCGAAAGCACCCAGGCTGGCCCAGTTAGACTTGCTCGGCGTTCGAGCGGTCACTCCGGACATCTGTGACGCGTAAGTAATTATTAGAAATATCACACAGCGCCATCTAGTCCCTAACTAAGCAATGCTTGTAGTATATGGGTACGGCGCGAGCGTTGCTGCCGAAAGCACCCAGGCTGGCCCAGTTAGACTTGCTCGGCGTTCGGGCGGTCACTCCGGACATCTGTGGCGCGTAAGTATAATAATTAGAAATTTCACACAGCGCCATCTAGTACCAAACTAAACAAAGCTTGTACTATTATGGGTACGACGCGAGCGTTACTGCCGAAAGCACCCAGGCTGGCCCAGTTAGACTTGCTCGGCGTTCGGGCGGTCACTCCGGACATCTGTGATGCGTAAGTAAATAACAATAGCTTTAGATATACTTCCTTGGAGCACTACGGGGCGTGTGTAATAAAGATCGTAAGTAAATAATAAATAAATAATTAGAAATTTCACATAGCGCCATCTAGTCCCAAACTAAGCAAAACTTGTACTATATGGCTACGACGCGAGCGTTGCTGCCGAAAGCACCCAGGCTGGCCCAGTTAGACTTGCTCGGCGTTCGGGCGGTCACTCCGGACATCTGTGACGCGTAAGTAAATAATAATAACTTTATATATACTTCGCAAGTTGTTCCTTGGATAGTGTGCGATAGGGACTTGCAAGCGTTGCTGCCGGTCGTCCTTTGGGTGACCAACCTTCTTATAATGTCTGTAGTAAAAAATCACGGCTCCGTAACATAGTATGTCATCACTTCAAACAAACTCTGGTCAAAGACCTCAAATAAATGTTTACGTACTTCCTTCTGGACTTAAATCTATACTAATATTATAAAGAGGAAAGATTTGTACCTATTTTTGTATGTTTGTAATGAATAGGCTCAAAAACCACTGAACGGATTTTGATGAAACTTTACAGTATTATTGTTCATAATCCAGAATAACATATAGGCTATAATTTATGACGATCTGTGACAAACGAAATTTCACGCGTGCGAAGCCGCGGGCGGAAAGCTAGTATAATATATTTCTTTAATTTACAGGATCTTAGCTGAATGTCGAGAACTGCGGCTATTGGATGTCAGCTTCTGCGATCAAATACACGAATCTCAGGTGAATAAACATTATTTTATTTTTAATTTATGCAATTTTTCATTAATCAAGACAATCCAATCCAATGCTAAAGAGAAAACGACCATAAAGACGTGATTTTCTCTTTTCCAGGTCCTGGAATGGCGTGAGCAATATCCCCACGTGAGCATCAAGCGGTCTTTCCAATCTGCTAATTTGAACACAGCGCCCAATCCGCTATTCCTGGCCCCTAGCTTAGAGTGAACGTAAGTGGTGGATATTTATATTAAGTGAGAACTGTAGGTTACAAGGAAATTATATTTCACCAATACCTTGATATGAAACTCTTGTTAGTATAAATGTTACGGTCAAAGTGATAAATGTGAAAATTATGAATAATCGCCGGTTATTATGAATAATTACCGCATGATTTGGTAAATGAGATTAATATGAGGGGTCATTTATGTGTGTATAAAACTAGATAGGCGGCTTAGGGGTGGCCCAAGGGCNGTAGGTTACAAGGAAATTATATTTCACCAATACCTTGATATGAAACTCTTGTTAGTATAAATGTTACGGTCAAAGTGATAAATGTGAAAATTATGAATAATCGCCGGTTATTATGAATAATTACCGCATGATTTGGTAAATGAGATTAATATGAGGGGTCATTTATGTGTGTATAAAACTAGATAGGCGGCTTAGGGGTGGCCCAAGGGCCACCCCCGCCGCACCTTAACCTATTTTTCACTTTAAATAAAAAAATTATGTTATAGGCATCATGGAAAAGTAATATTATGCAAGAAACATTCCAAACTCATTATGCCAAATTATATTAATATATGATATCAAAACGTTCAAAAGTTTGGCTGTACACGAGCACGTACACAAGATGTTGTTCTCTTTTATGAAATTTGTTGGTACTAAGCTTGAATTATTAAATAATAACTGTTAAATGTGATTAATTTATCACTTTTACCGCGACTGTCGGTAATTATTCATAATAACCGGTTATTATTAATAATTTTCAATTTATCACATTAACCGTAACATAAATAACATTGAGCTAAAGACACTAAGGCTGGGTTGCACCATCTTACTTTAACTTTGACAAACGTCAAAAATCTGTCAAACTCCATACAAAAAACACCGGCTATTGTTATAGTTACGGTCACTAATATAGTTAGTTGGTGCAACTCAGACTAACAAGCTATCAAATGCGTCTACAGACCACCACACCTGCATAAAATTAAGAGCAACTATTAGCTAAAAAACAAGGCAAACTGTTAACTTTTAATTGTTAACCGGTCTCCTTTATTGCTTAAAAAAACGCTTATTAATAAGCTATGTTTGTAGATGATAGAATAGTCACCAATAATCTAGAAAACAATTTAATTCACCGTCTTTGTGATGTGTTCGCATTTACTTTTATATTGTTGATCTTTAATTCAAGCTAATAAATTTCCAAATAGTGTGGTAGCTATTCCCATTGCCTTTTATAAGCTGGTACCGGTTTAGTTATGAAGTAGCGTAGTAAGTATTAAAACCTAACTAAGGTGACATAGGATAGTGTTTTGTTCAGTTATGTTAAATAAGAAAATAAATCTGTTTAATCTTACGGTTAAACTTCAACAATAATCGACAATAAGCTTCATTTAGTAAGCGATATAAGCAAGCATATCCATGATTTATAAGCATTTTTATCTATCGCATCGTTTATAGTCATAAGAATCGCTTTCTGGACCATAATTTTAATACATTCATCCTTAGATATTAAATTCGTAAATGTAGGTTACTTGTGAAAAGTCACAGCCGTACGCAAAACATTTTCTTTTCTTTTTTAATAGAAGACCGGACTGAATTTTATCATAAAAAGGACGTTAATAAATCGTGTATGAAATTGATTTAGTTTTCATGAGAACCGGGTCATTACCATCACTCTCATGAAAACTGATCACAAGTGATGTCAAACTTCGATATTTCTCAAACAATCTCTAAAGCTTGAGCCACACCAACGCGTGCAGATCGCCATCGCCGGCGCGATCAAGGGCCAATGACAGGTCGCGCGACCTATGACAGTTCACGCGACCTGTCATTGGCCTTTGATCGCGCCTAGGGTTGCCAGGTCCAAAATCACAAAAGCCGGACTTTGTGCTTCATATGGCCGGACATTTTACCCTAAATGCAATTAGTGTCAGCTCATGAGTGCTAACCAACATCCTGATGCGTGCGCTTCATATGATTATGTGGCTCAACTTAAATAAAAAGCCTAACAAAAGCCGGACAGGCCGGACAAGGCAATATTTGGCCGGACAAGTCCCTAAAAAGCCAAACATGTCCTGCCAAGACGCCTGGCAACCCTAATCGAGCCGGCGAAGGCGATCTCCACGCGTTGGTGTAGTTGAAGCCTAACGTGATGCAGAATTTTGACAGCTCCTATGATTGATCGTATCTAGTCTCTTTCAATGTCTGAGATCTTCGTAATTATTTATTCAAGAGTTTAATTTATGTATTGTGATTTAAAAGCAAAATTTGTCCAAGAAAATTTACCTTGGATGAATTTATGAATGGAAAATATGTGTAGATATTTTTGAAAATGTTCATTGTAAATATATTTTTGATGTCTACTATACATAATATTCTAGCAACGTACAACGATTTAACGTCAATTAAATAAATAATCATATCAAGGGATGTTCGGGATAAAGGGTAATACAGATACTTTCCCATGAAACGGATACTGGAGAAATTGAAAAAAGACATATCTAATGCTATGACGTAGATATTTTTTTCTTGCATTAATAAATAAGATGGATTCATCTCTTTATATCTTCGTAGGATGTTGCTAATAGTAGAAAAGACACAAATAATGACTGTTTTTTTCGGTGGTATAATCTCAATTTGTATTTAAATAGTCCAGTGGACAAAAAAGTTGTCACACAACTTGTCGCCTACGCTGCAAAGGGGCGAACATCATACAAATCGGTCAAAAATTTTGTTGTATACAGAAATGCTCCAATATTCAGGCACTATGTCGGTTTTTGCTCTCCTGTATAATTTTATGTGGTCCACACAGCTTATGACCGCAGTCTGTGGAGGAACACTATAATATGTAGGGAATGCCTCCGCTGCCGGCGCCGGTCGCTGATTCGGCAGCCGGCACCGGTCACTGATTCGGCAGCCGGCGTCGGTCGCTCATTTGGTACCCGGTGCCGGACGCTGGTCCATAATTCACTACTGTTACATTTGTAGGTATTTTTCGACAAATACATGTGGTCGAGATCTTCATCAGTGTGGGACCGAGGAAGATTAAGTATAATTTTATAGAAAATGTTTGCCCCTTTGCGGCGTCTGATTATTTAGCACTAAGTCGGTATAATGACTGTATAATAATGGTTTAATTTCATTAGAGGGGACTCTTTACTGATCTATATTTCATATTTTCATCGTGTCACACAATACACTTGGCTTTAAGAAAACTAAATTGACGAACTGATATTTGATAATAATATTTTTGATAGTCAATATACGAGTATAATATTAATAACTTAAAAAGTTGTTTAAAGCATAATACATTCTAAAGTCATTTATAATTTTTGATCAACGCATTTATTTTTGTTGAACTCAAAACTATTATTGGCATGAGATCTAAAAATTCTGAGAAAAATTGGCTTTAATAGTGCAATATTATTATTTTTAAATTAAAACGTTTTAGGTTACATTCATATTTCATAAGATCCACTATATTGAAAGACTGACTAAAAATTAATTTTATCTTAAAAGTAACTCAAAAACTTAAAAAAAAATCGGTGCAATGATCTATTTGCATTTATAACCATGTCAATTCTAATGACACTTATTTGAAGTGACAATATAATGGCACTAACATTAGTCGCCCAGCACATAAACTGTCCATTTTTAGCCCGCCATACATGGACAGTTTGAGCAGGTAGCCAGTGATCAACATACACGGACCGCTCTTGCAGTCGTAGGCCCGACTGCTGCTGTATTTCCCGAACTCTTTAAACCTAAATACCTGCTTTTTTCCGCATAAAAAACCTAACCTGCCAGCTTGAAGCAACTAGTGTCGACAGCTTTTCTTGTATGGCGGGCCTTACTCGCAAAAAAGCATATTGCAACAACAGGAGATAGTGTTTAAATTGATGTGCCGTTGCTCGCATTCTGAATATGAAATACTATTTTTATTATATCTGAGAGTATTCGAGTAAATTAAAATAATATTATTATTTTCCATGTAATATTAATAGTATGTTTTAAAGTCAATTGGATCGTCAATTGGTCAGTGTATGAAATTACAATATCTATCTATGTATATAAATAAAAATGAATTGATGTTCGTTAGTCTGATTAAAACTCGAGAACGGCTGGGGCGATTGAGCTGATTTTGGTTTTAAAATGTTTGTCGTAGTCCAGGGTAGGTCTAAACGGTGAGCAAATACGCGCGCGATATTGTTTTTCTGTGACAGACCAAATTCCACGCGGGCGAAGCCGCGGGCGGAAAGCTAGTAATAAATAAATGTAAATGGTTTTATTAAAGCAATTTAAAGGCACCACAGTTAATTAAGAATACTGAAGCGATACAATAAATAAAATAATACCCATTTTCATTTGATAATTCAATTTTTAATTGAATAATATCTTACATTGGTTTCATGTGATGTAAGAACGATTAATTGTTCTAATAAAATCATTTAAATGTTAGGCATTTTTTTATGCTAGACAAGGCAGGTATTTGATCGCAATCGCATCTGGTGTTAAGTGAGATGCAGTCTATGATGGTACATATCTGTAATATAATAATATAAGTATTAGAGGTAAGATCGTGAACTGTATCCAGATGTAAACAGTTTTTCGATATTAATAAAAAAAACATAAAAAACGAGTGCGATATTATACATACACTCAAATGAATGTTAATATTTACGAAGTTGTGTTAAAACCCAGTAATACATTAATTTTAAGTACCTATTTTCATTTATCTGTTTTTATGAATCCTATGTATGCAAGTTATGTTATGTAAGTCTTGTAAGTACATAAAATGTTGTTTATTTTTCTGTTAAAATACAATAATATTATAGTTTCTATTTTTCAATTCTATTTCAAGCTAGCTGCTTTCAGTCATTATAACAGTTTTTGATAAATATTGTAATTACTTTTCATAATAAAAGCATATGACAGTGTAATATTTGTGTATTATTTCCATTATAATTTCATTAATATGTAATAGATCAGACTATACATTTTGTATAAAAAAAATTACAACTGTAAGATGCTACTGTCTGTATTTTGAGGACAATACATTTTCGCCTTTTGTATTTGCATAAGTATTAGCTGATGAAGGCTGCACCAAGACAAGCCAAAAGTATTTTAAAAAACGGGACCTACCACTAACACTGAATAAACATGTTTTCTTTCTTTACTAACGAAACTACGTTCCGTACTACACAACGCCAACGATGTTTGTTTGTTCGAATCCCGGATATACATTTTTGTTGTTGTCATAGACTTATTTTAATCGCTTTATGAATGATTATTATACGTTATCTAGTCGACCATAGTACAATCTCAGATCAGTCTGTTTGGTTACCAGGGTAATTCATGCGATTAGAAGAATCAAAATGTATCTAATACAGGCAGAGTACATCAAGATAAGCATTGTACCTACTTACTAGTTGTCTATTTTGCAACAAAGAATGTATAGTGTGATGTGACAGTGGATAGGTACAGTAAATTGACAGCACATTAGACTACATTAGTTGCATTGATCATGTTCTTCTTGTCGTGTCGACAACACAGCGTCAGCCCAAAACTCCGCCACAAGAGTGGCGTTGTCAGTAGACTTCATTAAATCTTCCTGCGTGCAGTTGTTTGGGCACGCAGGGCACGACATCATGTGCTTCGTCGATTGGGGAACAAAACCACACTTGCACTTCAAGTTTGAGTCATCCAAGAATCCCCACCTGAACAGATTGTCCTAACTATGGCCGACCTGCGTCCGAAGTCTTTAAAGATTTCTATGTAGGCCAGGGGAGCTCGTGTCCAGGCGGAGGACTCTCAGACATAGGGACAAAAGGGCAGGGAAGATATGAGGTGGAATTGTGTAAAGCAATCGTAATCATTTGACAGTTCATAACGTACGATAAAGTCAGTTAAACAAAGCGTTTCACAGAATAATCGTACGTTATGAACTGTCAAATGATAACGATTGCTTTACACAATTCCACCTCAGCTCTCTCACGCCATAACCTGCATCTCTCTTTTGACCGATCGTCATGAAGGAGAGTGGGCACTTTTTTTCATTTGGCAGGTATTTTGTGCCAGCATTACTAAAAGTATTTTCACCCTTAACTCAACGTGACATATGCGCATAAACTTCTCGGGTCAACCCACCACACCTAGCCACAACCTAGCGATCTTACATCAACGGAGGTATTGCGTACGCTATTAAGGCCGTCCCGTTAAATTTATAACGTTACCGCACTTATTTTATCGCCACTACGTCTTGCTTAGTTGCTTTGCTGAGCTTTACCGTGACCCCGTGCTGTGATTTATTTGAGGCATGCATGTGTACGGCCATGTTTATAGGACGTACACGAAGTGTGTTGATTTATAAGGAAAAACCAGATTTATTGTAAAAAAAAATATTGTTATTAATTTATTTATTACCATGCTTTTCATCATTAAGTAATCATCATCATTTCAGCATTATGGAAAACCAATGATTTCCATAATGGATTTTTTTCGTGGCCCAAAATGTGACCAACGTTACTTACAGTACAGATGATAGACACGTGTTCATATGCAACTATCTTATAAGGGCCCTCTTCCAGTCACAAAAAAATAACGAAACAAAAAAACGCAAAAATATTTTCCTTATCACCCGTATCGTGCATTCTTTTGTCCATCGCTTATAACTTCCGTATATTTTCCAATACGGAAGTAAATATTTCGAAGCGTCTATCGCACTTCTAGGTATGTATGCATTACACCAAAGACTACCTACTATAGAATACTGCATTACACATACCTACTTCATGCATACGCATTGTAAAACAGATCAAAGATCTATTCATGTGAATACCTAAGTACACGCGTGATCGAGTTGTAGGGCATTGTCTACCATGCAAATGAGTTCCAGAGCCAGCCTATTTTGACTCTGTTTGACTTGCGTTCAAACAGCCCAGCGGTGTAGGCCTTTTTGCATAAAACTCTTTGATCCGTCCTGTTGTTTTAGGACAGAAAGGCACTGTTTACCTATAATTACAGTGCGTTTAAATTGGCCTGAAATAAGAAATTTCACCCTTTGGATGACACGTAAGTAAGCACCATCCTACGTAATTTTACTTTTGAGGCCCGTAGTATAAAACGTCACCACAGTTTTATTCTGTTCTTGAATGTAGATTAATAATTGAGCATGTCCTTTTAGAATAAGGGCATAAAAATGGTTTTAGGTGTTTACGATATTAGTTAAATTGAGATAATTTTTGAGAATATCAAATATTGTTTTATTATTAGGTATAACTATAATTATTTAGTGGTCAGATAATTAGACATTAATATTAATCTCTATAATATGACAATAATCTGCATTAGTTTATCATTTTTATTGTTACTACCTATTTAATCAATCAATCAATCAAACCTAAGAAGGGGTAGTTAGGAAAAGGGGAAGAAGCGCTATAGGTATAATGTCGTCACTACCAAATAGGTTCTTTTACTCTGGTCATCCTGCTCACCCTCCTCTTGAGGTGTCTTAAGTGAGCAGAATGTCGAGTTTGCCGCGTGAGCCCATTCGCCTAATGTGGACGCACCATAAAGGTTCCTTGTCAGGACTACGGAACCCTAAAAACTAAGATTAGAAGTATAGAATTACCTAGCAGTATAGAAACGCTCCACAAGCTTGAGTCTATTATTTAGAACCTAGTTTCAAGTTGTGCTTCTTAATACGGGCCTCTCGACTCTCGAGTGAATTTTAGTAAGTAAGTAATTTACCTAAGCGCGCTTCACCTTTGATCTCTATTACTCAATAAAAATAAGAATGAACGCACCTTGCCAGAGTTATTGTATGATGTTGTAACAGGCAAAAAAGTCATTCAGCCTAGTATGTAGTAGGTATCCACCTACACAATAGGTACATGACAATCCAACCACATCTTGTAGCGTTATATTATGTAAGTCGAAAGGTTATCGAGAATATTGTCTTTATTGTTCAGTAGCTATTCATATTTTGCCCATATTGTGTGAAGAATTAATAGTTACTGTATATTATGTATTAATATTGAATAGTTATGTTGTTTATGTAGATTGTGAACTGATCTATTGTCAGTTTGTGTGTTGAGGTGACTCACTACTACGACTTGTAGGAACTTTACGTTAAAAGTAATTGAATCAGTGAACTGTGTGTCAAGAAGATAGAAGTGTCGTTTGAATTACTTAGTGGATATTTTTAAAGGTAAGTACCTACTAACGTGGTTTTTTTAGTTACCTACTAGGTAAGGTACCTATGCATCGATTTATTTCTTGATAAAACCTTATCCTACATCAGTTCATTGCGTGATAACATTCGATTGGATTTGAGCGTCTAGGGTTGTTGCACCATCTTACTTTAATAACAAACGTCAAAAGTCTGTCAAACTCCATACAAAAAAATACCAGTTGTAGTTAAAGTTACGGTACTTACGGTTAAGTTAAGGTGTTGCAATTCAGCCTAAATTAACGAAGAATGAATTAAACTATAATAATATAAATGCCCATTGACGAAAAATAAATAAATAATATAGTATTTAATAAATGATAGCAAAAATTCTATGATTTCAAATGTAAAAGCCGTTTGGTCTTTTACGTAGATTATGTTGTTTAGTTTAGTAGGTACCTAGGTACCTACCTGCCTAGTTCCTGTATGTGTTTGTAATGGAAAATGTTTTAATTTTGTAGGTATTTCGGATTAATCCATGTCATGTAATTCTGGCCATGCGAACCGCGCTGCGGGATTACGCTAATCCCACTGATTAAAATTGACAAATATTGGACATTGTTATTCCATGACCAATGACCATACAAAGCTGAGGGCATTCGTTTATTTGATAACGGTTACATAGCCGAGAATTTTATATGAAACCTTGGATAAAACCTAGACCCTGATTAAAATACGATGCAAAACCTAAAAAAAAAGAAATGCGATGCGAGTCAGACTCGCGTATTGAGAATCCCGTTAGTAAGTAACTTGGAACCTTAAAATCAGAAGTAGGTAAGTATTAGAGGGCTATAAGAACCCTCATTGGACCTATCATTGGAAATCTACCCACCAATTGGTAAAATAAGAATTGTAACATTAAAGATGTTCATCTTCATTTTCAATACTCTAGGATTATCCCCATTATTTTGATTTGTATGTTTACAGAACCACAATGTTCTTCCTCACGCTAGCAATATCTTTGCTAGTCGGGTCGGTGTACTCCGACCACCACGATAGAACCAACCAGTTGCCTGACAGGTCCACCATCGTCCACCTCTTCGAATGGAAGTGGAAGGACATCGCTGATGAATGCGAGAGGTTCCTAGCGCCCAAAGGATTTGGAGGGGTTCAGGTTTGTATATTTAGTTGACCTTAACAATTTTAAAAACCAGTAACTCCGGCTGGAATTAACATTTTCCTTATAAACTTGAAATATTGACAATACTGAAATAGGTAAATGCAGTCTCTGTATTATCTATACAAATTGCTTACAGTAGTAAGTACCCCTCGTGGTAAGTTAAGTATACAGGGTGTTTGGCGGAAGGTTAGACAAACTTCGTGGGTGTATAGGTAAGGACATTGAGCACATATAGGTAAGGACATTGACACCCTAAGTGAGCTACTTTTTTTTAAATTAATATTTTGGTTTGTATTAACTTTTTTCCAAAATTTCACCTAAAACTGCTTAATTTTTTTTCTCGCTTATTTAAACCGCTTTTTTCATCATTATCATCATTTTAGCCATAGGACGTCCACTGCTGAACATAGGCCTCCCCCAATGACTTCCACATCGCACGTTTTATTTTATATTAATATTGAATATGTCTTTAATTATTGAGTGAGTTCACCACAATAGTCCAGTGGCGGCGCGGGGTTTGAACCTCGGATCTTGGGTCGGCCAGTCAGACACTTTCACCATTGGGCTATAGTCGCCTAAAATTAAACATCAATGACTTGTTCACAGATTTCCCCACCATCAGAAAATCTGATTATCCACCTGTCAGATGGATCAAGGACATGGTATGAACGTTACCAAGTGATGTCTTACAAACTGAAGACGCGGTCTGGGGACCGAGAAGACTTCTTGAATATGACCCGAAGGTGCAACCAAGTGGGAGTCAGGTAGGATATGTTTGTTTATGTATTGGTACTTAAACATTCATCTTGAATCCAATTCTGAAATACCCTACGTGATACGCTGCTTACTGGTAGATTTCTAATGAAGTCCACCAAAAACATGTTCATGTAAAATGTTGGCAACCGACCGGTATTTCTATCACCACAATCACTGTAAAAAATTGTCTGCAAGTTTGCATCTAGTAGTATAGTACGCAGAACTGACGGCCGATGGGGCAGCAAGGTTCTGGAATGGAGGCCGCGTACCGGAAAACGCAGCGTGTGACGTCCACCTACAAGGTGGACGGACGACATCGTAAAGGTAGCAGGGAAGCGCTGGACGCAGGCCGCTACCAATCGATCAACATGGAAAGCATTGGGGGAGACCTATGTTCAGCAGTGGACGTCCTATGACTGAAATGATGATGATGATGATGATTGCATCTAGGCTTTTAGTTGGCAGACCACCGACTTTTAGTTCGCAGATAGTTGGGTTTGGGTCGGGCTGTTAATTAGTATTGAAAGTGCGCACATTACACCCATTTGGTATCGGCCGATTCTTAATACAAATTAAAATCGGGCCCAACTATCGGCTAACTAAAAGTTGGTGGTATGCGCCTAGGCTTAACGTCGTCGCTAGCGAGTACGTCAAAAAATCTACAAACAGCTCTCGTGAGAGTCAAGCTTCTAACTCTACACACTCAAACTCTACTCCTTATCAAAATATGTGGCACGGCTGTTTCACTGTCGTCAAATGGACGTAAGATGAAAAGTTTACTCACTGCTTTACGTAATTACTTTTCTGTTATAAGTATTAAGTAGTCCTTGTAGTAACAATACGGCCAAGCCGACTTCTTTTTTTTATGCTAGACAAGGCAGGTATTCGACCGCAATCGCACCTGGTGTTAAGTGAGATGCAGTCTAGGATGATGGTACCTACATATCTGCCCTGTAAGTGCCTATTCACTCTCGCCTTGAAAACGCCCAGATTATAGTGTTCAGGAAATACAGCAGCAGGCAGCGAATTCCAGTCCCTAGCTGTTCGCATTATAAACGAGTCGTCGAAACGCTTATTCCTACTTTAAGTAAATTTCCTGAAAACATAACCCTTCCCTTGCTATTATCTCTAGCATTACCGTTGCAGATGATGCATTTTTCAATAAAGATTGATTGCACTAGGATATTGGCTCAGAAGCAATTCCGAATGGATTCAGAATAATACCTAGCAGTTTGATCGAAAGTTCGAATTAGTTTCCGATGTGATCGGACGTTGCGGTCCCTCAATACTCCGTGTTTGTTTCTAAAGTAATTTCATTTCTGCATAGCTGCATGGTTATTGCGTTATACTTATACAATCTATGTCTAATTAACATTAATAGGAAATATTGTTTGAACTGAACTGAGTCCTAGAGTTTATTTATTATACATATAATTAGGTAAGCAACAATTTTTTAAAAGATAGTTCTAAGAAGTAGAGTCATTTTAAACACCATAATACTTAGTCTAAAGTCCTGAAGTGTTCTTCAAGTTCCAAACTCGGCGAGGTTAGGCACTACGTCATCATGGTAAATGTCAAGTATTTTCAGTTGTCTATACTTTAAGTACTAATTTGTGAAATATAAGACCTAATTTTAGTTATAGTCATTGCCACATTGTCTAATTTTGAGGCGTTACGTCATTTTTGTTTTTGTCAAGTGTGAGGTTAAACTACTAAAGTGTTTTGTTGTTAGTGCATCATCATCCTGTCACGTAGGACCACCTAACAAACTCACATGGTGGTGTACCTAGCTAGGTAATCGTTTAATTAAGCTTAAAATATGTAAAGATTATGACAGATATGGCCACATGGTATGAATGATTACCATTATCAAACAATAGTTAATCGCATTTAAGTATGTAGGTAGGTACCTACTTACTGGAGACAACAAAATGCAATATTAGGTACATGAACCAAAATAGCTTTGTACCTATAATTAATTAATGTAACTTAGCGATACATAATTTTATTGCCGTGACATTAATTTACTTTAAACCTAAACTTGGGTTTTGGCTATGATGAAGTCGTTAAAATGATACAATTTACAGTAAAATTAGAAATGACGATTGGGCTGAATTTTTTTCTGCAAAATCTCAGTTATTTACTAATAACATAATGTGGGTTGACCGACCACTTCATAAAGGTAGCAGGAAGGCGCTGGATGCAGGCCGCTACCAACCGGGCGATGTGGAAATCATTGGAATTGGAAATCAATAAATTACCCATGTTCATCAGTGGCCGTCCTGTGGCTGAAATTATGATGATGAAACTAAAGATAGGCAGTCGTATTTTGATTATATTGGAGAGAGTTTAAGAGTTGATTTGGAGGTTTTTAATCATGTCCTCTTGGGGAACCATTGGGAAAGACTGTCCTTCCTTTAAAGTTTTATAAATCAAATCTTACTGCTTACCTACTTACTAACATAATTATTATATGTTTTTGTCTGTCTCCTGTCTATAGTATAGGTATTGTAAAAACCTATCGTAATTTCATTTGAATTCGATAACACGTCACATAGATTTATCATCATAATATTGATCAAAATAATAACTACGTCAATTAATTGACGAAGGAACTGGAAAAAAAATATTAATTTATCGCTGCAAGTGGTAGACTTATACCTAATTTATCAAATAATCTTAAGGTAATTTCCTTATCAATTACAGATCAGATGCACTTATGTTTAAATTCGGCCTTATCTTAACATCTTACGATTTTAATTACGCCTTAGCCTAAGCGGTCGGGCTGTTGGTCAGTATGGAGATGAATGAAAGTGCGCACATTACACCGATTTGATATTGATTTACCATTGATTTCGAATACTGGTTTTAGTTTCATCATGTACCTAGATGAAACCGAAATCCGTCAATTGTTACAACTGAGCTATTTAGTATAGGAACTGGAGGAGCTGGCCATAGGAGTTTGTTCATATTTGTTCAGTAAAATTAGTTGATTGTTTCAAGGAACATCTCTGATGCGAGGGACCTATGCACAATTTACTTTTCTTATTCTAGGATTTACGCAGACGTGGTCGTCAATCACATGACAGGTGATCATCCAACCAACATAGGCACTGGAGGCAGTACAGCGGACTTCAAAAAGTACAGCTACCCCGCTGTACCATACACCCAGGATCATTTTCACCATCCGTATTGCATTATCAACAATTATCAGAACGCCGAAGAGGTCTGTTATGGGTATATTTTAATTTCTTTATCACGTTTCAAAAGGTTGACCTACAATATAAATTTTAATGCTCGATGCATGATCGATTCATACACTTGATCGTAAGACGATCGAGGATGTGAAAGAACTTGAGGAAAGCTGACGACCATACGTCTTTTAATATCATATTATAACTTGAATGTCTGTCTCTCTCTCTTAAAGCAAGGCTGATTCATTAGTATTCAAGTTTGAATCTAGCTTTTAGTACCATTTCATAGTTCCTTTCTTTCGATGTGTCTGTGAAATAGACAAAGGCAGAAAGGCATTTGAAAGTCGCAAAAGTTACAATATACCTACTTACTCAATATTGTCAACTACAGGTACGGAACTGCCAACTTTTAGGTTTGAAAGATTTGAATCAAACAATCCCGTATGTCCGTCAAAAGATATTCAGATATTTCAACAAATTAATAAGACTCGGAGTCGCCGGGATAAGGTATTTAATAAGGAAAATTTTTCAAAATGTGTTGTGATTAAAATTGATGTCATTGTTTAAGAAAGTGACTAATATTAAGCCCCTACTTCTTATCTTATATACTTCTGAACGTAAATAATGTAGTGGTTCTAACTTTTTTAATAAAGGTTGTGGATAACAACACATTCTGTGGTAAATGCGTGTTTCAGAAATCGTAGAGCGAAAATTGCTTTGAAAACTTCGTAAATGTTTCTTTTCATCATTACCTTTTGATCACTATTCATAATATGTATAAATATTAAACAGTGAGTATTATTTTAATGAATTCACCAACAAGCTTATTTTTTTCTTGTTAAAAATCATGTTTATACATTTTTTATCACAACTGCTAACTTCACTTATCTGTGTCTGGTGCGCACTATGAACTTTGTATACTCGTTATGGGTTATTCCACTTATGCCCATCGAATTGCCCCATCAATGGGGGATTCTGAAGTTTTCTTTCACAAATCCCCATTCAGTGCTATGAACTAAAAGCCCCATCAAAGTGAGCTTTTCTCAGCAAGATAGTAGATAAGTGGAATAACCCGTCGTTATTTTATGTTGTCAATAACCATTACAGGTGAGGGGGTGTGACCTTGTCGGTTTAAAGGATTTGAATCATGGAAATTCGTTTGTTCAGAAAAAAGTCGCAGATTTCTTGAATGATCTTATTTCTCTCGGGGTTGCTGGGTTTAGGTGAGTGTGCTTTCGTAATTAATGAAAACGATCCCTTACGCCCTTTTCACACGTCCCGGTTGCCGGCTAACCGGCGCCGGGTACCCGGTGGTGAAGTGTATGGACATGCCGATTGACAATAATCTGTCATACTCCATACAAAAAACACCGGTTATCGTTATAGTTACGGTCAAAGTTGGTGGTGCAACTCAGCCTTTAATCTAATGTGAGTTAAGTTTTTAACGAGGGTTGGATTTTAATAAGCTCTTCTTTTCAGGTAGGTAGGTATGTCTTGCTTTTAAAGTGCACAAACTAAAGGGTAGACTATTGGTGACCAATAGTAACCAACCATAACCACATAACCAACTTTTTCTATGTGATCGATATTAAAATCTAAGGAAACTTTTATCAACGGATTTTTCAGTGTTCTGTTGTTAAACATTTTATACACAGATAGAGTTTTCTCTCGTCTGTGTGCTTTATTATGACATACTTACGCTTGATTTACGGTTTAAACTTTATTCTCATTATGATTACAAATCGCTTACATGAGAAAAACAATTGTTTTACATTAAAATTAACGGAAATGACGAGCGTGAGTCACTACACTGTAGGCACTGTGTTGGTTTAAGTCTTATTATTATTATTATTTTTTACTTATTTTATTTTATATATTTAATATTATAATGTTTTATTTTAATCATCTTTTTAATGTAGAGTTGACGCCGCTAAGCACATGTGGCCTGCAGACCTGGGAGCCATCTACGCAAAGCTTCACAATCTGAATACGGATTTTGGATTCCAGCCCAATACAAAACCGTACATTTACCAAGAAGTTATTTACTATGGAAACGAACCGATCACTCCTAAAGAGTACACTATCTATGGAGATGTTACTGAGTTTAAGGTAAGTTAAGACTAAAGAAGGTAGATTACTAAGGAAGGTAGAAGAGAAGACAGCGGGAAGGCGCTGGATGCAGGCCGCTACCAACCGTGCGATGTGGAAGTCATTGGGGGAGGCCTATGTTCAGCAGTGGACGTCCTGTGGCTGAAATGATGAAGACTAAAGAACTATCCAATTTTTCTATGATATAATGAATATTAGCGACCCGCCCCAGCTTCACACGGATGGGTCCTATACATAGTACACATGATAAACCTTCCCCTTGAATCATTCTATTGCTGAAAATGCATTAAATTGCGTAGTACCTACAAAAGATCTAAGCGTACAAAAAATGGAAGCGATTTTCTTTACACTATGTAAAGAAGATCCCTGCAATCTATTCTCATCAAATCCACCTCTAGTATCTTGTATTCATACAAATAGCATAATAAAATGTTATTTTTTTTACACGAAAATCCCTTTTAATGTTTGGAGCGTATGTATACTTTTTCGGTGCACAAATTGCTCCTGTAGTCCGTTGTTCGCTTATCAAATTATTTGGGGCTTTGCACCAATGCAATTATGCAAAATTATAGATAACACTGGTATTTAAATGTTTTAAACTTTAAAAACATGCTATTAAAAAGATAAAGCCAGCACTGGCTGTTTTTAAAAAAATTTGCGCCCCAAAATAATGTACTGCTACACATAGGCCTCCCCCAATGAGTTCCACAATGACTGGCTACCTTTATGAGGTCGTCGGTCCATCTTGTGGGTGGACGTCCTACGCTGCGGTATACGGTACGTGGCCTCCGCTCCAGAACCTTGCTGCCATATCGGCTATCAGTTCTGCGTAACGTGCCCTACCCACTCATTGACACTTGCTTGGTAATCCGTCGAGCTATGTTAGCGACTTTAGTTCGTTTACGGATGTGCTCACATCTGATTAGATCTCGTAAAGAACCACCGAGCATGGGGAAAGCCTATGTTCAGCAGAGGACCTCTATAGCTGAAATGATGATGATGAAATTATGTACTAAAATACTTGCTGATCAAAACTTTCTCAAAAGGCTTTCCCTACCGCTGATATAATAATTAATTTCAAAGTTATAGGACAATAGATCAAACAATCGGCTCTTAGCGGATCGTTTGCCGCACAACTTAATTGCCCATCGTCGTTGTTAGAAATAAGGGTTTAATAGAAATAGATGCAGTTGGACCAATTCTAACTTTTACAGGTTAGGTACATGCTTTTGGGAAAAGTTACGATATACGAGTACATCATTAATACAGTGAACGATCAATGTCAATTTATGAAAAACAGAGTTGATTGTAAAACGCGTTTTTAGAAAATTCTTGATTTTATCCCTAAATACTTCCTAAATCCTTTTAGTACCTACTAAATATTTTTTTTCTTTCTTTCTTTTTATTGAAGAAATATAATAGGGCAAGGATGAATCGAAATAGGGAGAAACCTCTTCGAAAACATTTGCACTGTATTACGAAAGTACTGACTGATGATTTTTAGTAGCAGCTTCGTCAATGTAGATTTCGGAAGAAATTAACCATGATATAAACAGTGAATAAATATTGTGTAGTAGTTTTTTTGAAGAACTAACAAACATTCATCCTCACAAACTTTTGCGTTGGTAATATTAATGCGACAATAATAATTAAGATTCTGTATTACGCATCTTTTTGCCGACGTCACTCAAAGTAGGTACTAAATGACGGATAATCTGCTCAATTATTATAGATGAATGTCATAATCAATTGATATGAAATATTTGGGTGCAGTGGGATCTTCTGATAAATCAGTAATTAGCATAATTAATTTCTAGAAAATTGATGTAAGTACGGACTACGTAGGTACAATAAATTGCTGTCAAGATTAGGTTCAAATCAGGTAAACAAAATGTGCACGTAATTAAGTAATCAGTACTTTTTATCAGTAAACAATTCAAGCATTCGTAGTTACTGAACAACTGCCAATCTGGAAATATTTGGGCCTATGTTCAGCAGTGGACGTCTGTGGCTGAAATGATGATGATTATTAACTGCCACGGGTTTTGTGCCACATCTACTTCTCTCAAATGCTCGAAATCTACTACATAAATGAGTTTGTGATAGCAATCATTATTTTGGTAGATAATACTCTGTAATTTTTTGTTGGTAGCAGGAAGGCGCTGGACACAGGCCGCTACCAACCGGGCAACATGGAGGGCATTGGGGGAGGCCTATGTTCAGCAGTGGACGTCCTATGGCTGAGATGATGATGATGATGATTTTTTTTTTGTTAACAATTCCACTGAATATATCTCTATAAATGACCAATGAGTTGACTTCATCGGTCACCCAAATGCAATCTACACACAGTTGGTCAAATGCGTAATAAGTATCGATATAAATCGAAACGATAACGGATTTACGAGTCGGCACTACATTGATTGATATCTACATGCAGTGATTATACATCTACGTGAGGTCATTGCGTAAACTGATATGAAGTACCTACTTACTTACATAGAGGCAACTGTTAAAGCGTGGTTAAAGAATACCAAAAAAACAAAGGAAGTCTAATTGCCTTTTTATTAGGCATAACTAGGTGACGGTGAATGTCATACGGGGTCAAAGGCTGCCTACATTCGTGCATGTTATATTGACGCACGTTCATAGAGCTCACGCCATAAGCTCCCCTGAGGATGTCTTTCGGGACGGACGATGGCGTTGCGACGCGATATATGGTGTCACTGTTTTGACCCATCGCACGGCCTGTATCCACTGGGGAGTTTGTATCTATGCTCGTTTTATGAGCATAAATGATGGTGGCGTATTCCCAAGTTCAATAAATGGACATACATTATAGATAAAGGATTAATATTGTATCATTTTAAAATGCTTACAATAGGCCAAATGAACTTACTGTCGAAGTTATAACTAAAATTAATCTCTACCATTTTAATAAAGAAGACGTTTTTCATAATGCTCACAGTTTTGTTTTAAAATAATGATAGATCGTAATGGACAGATGATTTGCAGTTGCAGGAAAGAAAGGCGCTGGATGCAGGCCGTTACCACAGTAGATAAATCAAACAGTACGGAAGCTTCATACAAACGCTCGAAATCAGACTCACGCACACAGACGCACGCTTTACACGAGCTCTAAGCGAACCTCGCAGTCCATACGTCGCGAGTGTCGCGCGCGTTGTGTTTTTAATAATAATTTTATTGCATGCAAGTTCCGCTGTATTTTTAAAAAACATGCCACGAGTGTATTGCGTAGTATACGGCTGCTTGAACTCGGCATCTTCAAAACCAGAACTTTCATTTTTTTAACTTCGTAATAATTCTAAATTGTAAAAATGATTAAATATTACTTTTTAAATAAACTGCTTACATCTGATTTTGTAATAGTTCTTTTTAAATTACGTAATTACGCTTTTTAACAATTTATGTGTTCTATTTGATAAAGTAATTTGCTCCGCGCGCTTTTGTACTAAGTGATGAAATGTATTTAAAATGAGGCAATNAATCCTTTGATCTTGCATTAGTACATACTTCTAATTTACACTCGACATCAAATAAATCGCACCTCCCGCGACAAGCATTTTCAAACGTATGCATCCCCACTTCCCAACAATATTGGCATCATTTAAAAGCCTAGTTCTAAACTTCATTTCATTAAAGGAAAGGTTTTTAGCCCAAAAATGTGTCTGTAGAAGGATCCAGAGACACTTCTTCAAAAAATAGGTAGTTACGCTTGAGCCAACTTTTATGGCTATAAAACTGTTAAGTTGGGATTAATCGTTATCCATCTGTTAAAGAGGACACGTGAAATCATTATTTGGTTTTATAACCATAAAAATGGGTCTAATTTATCCCAGAGGTGAGCCCAAAGTGAGGTCTGTTTTCAAGTCACATTTATGGTATGTGTTAATCATTTTTTAGAATTAAATGCGTTTATCTTTAAGGATATTTATTGGGCTTTCAATATTGTTGGGGCGGCATGATTGTGTCAGAAGAAAATCTTTAAAGTTCGCGTCGCGGAAGGTGCGATTTATTTGATGTTGAGTGAGTGTACATATTACTCTTATGTTACTGTAAATGCCTTCCATTCGGTGGGCGGACGATTTCGTGAATATCGCGTGAAATACCTGCACCTGAAGAATCAGTTGTGTAAATCCTTGGGGGAGGCCTTTGTCCAGCAGTGATAGCCTTTGGCTGAAATGGTGACGAAGATTTATCTTTTTAGGTTGGTGCAGAACTGAAGAACATCTTTCGTGGGGATAATGCACTGAAGTGGCTAGTGTCTTGGGGTGAAGCCTGGGCTCTGTCTCCAAGTGAAACTGCTCTGGTCTTCATTGACAACCATGATACTCAACGAAGCAACGATGTGCTCACTTACAAGGAGTCTAGAGCTTATAAGGTGAGGATATTGTCATACCTTCGAAAAGATGTTCACTGGTTGGGAATTGAATTCTCGACATGAAGCTATTGGAATTGAAGCTAAGAATTATCAAGCCCGCCCGAACGGACGACGCCGCGAGCCGCCAGTCTGCTTGTGACCACGGCTGCAGCATCGCAGCCGAAACGTCAAGCTGCGAGTACATAATGTAACTCATAAATAAACGTCGCGTTAAGACCCGTGTCTTACTATTTTACATGAAACTATTGGTACAAAATGCTTAATACCAAATACTGTATGTGGTAGACCTCAGATTATAAAGATAACGTCAACTCTATTATCTAGTAAGAAAGCTACCTTTTAAAACAGAATATGGCTGCGGACACAATCCTCCATTTCCGACGATGACGATATTAACAACAAACGATGTTCTATCGCAAACAATAATGAAAAATTTAATCTTGTGTTGCAGGCAGCTATAGCCTTTATGCTAGCTCATCCATATGGCGAACCACGTATTATGAGCAGTTACTTCTTCGAAAATAATGAGCAAGGACCACCTAGTGATAAAGAGGAGAATATTATATCTCCTAGCATTAATAAGGCAAGTATCAAGATCAGCAGACCGCGTATCCATCTGGCCTCTGCTTCGGCTTCCTCTAGTATCTGCTGTGCTATTGACTCTAGTTAGGGAATTGAAATCTTGCTTCAAGTGTGCTGTGCAGCAATTTGATTTACATTGAAAACAAAGAAGAAGAAATATTTATAGGGGAGCGTGGCCCACAGCGAACGATAAAACACAATACTTATAACAAAAATAAATAAAAGAAGCAAGAGCAAATAGGGTAGGTACCTACACAATCTTTTAATGATAAATCCCAGTTTGATTAAGACCTACATATTATTTCATCCAGGATGACACATGCGGCAACGGTTGGGTATGCGAACACCGATGGCGTCAGATATACCAAATGGTGGCGTTCAGGAACGCAGTAAGAGGCACGTCCATCCAGAACTGGTGGGATAACGGCAACAATCAGATCGCGTTCAGTAGAGGGGAGAAAGGATTTATTGTGTTTAATGCTGAGGGACGGGACTTAGATCAAAATTTGCAGGTGAACATATTTTTATACTATTGAAAATTTAATGGTAGAGTCAGGAACAGGTAGCGTAGTGGCACCAATGATCGACACTTTAAGGAGATATTGGGCTTCTTATTAAGATTAAAGGTCATTTAGTCATCTTTAAACCAAAAGTAACGATTGAGCATGATAAGGTATATTCTTGAGATAAGAATAGGATGTATTATTTTTATTAACTATACACGGACTAGAAAAAAATCCCAAAAAATGAAAAAGCATATAAATCTCCAATCATCGACACCGAATCTCCAGTAGTCAACACCCAGTCATCGACAGCTGCCACTTACCGACACCCAGTTATCGACGATCTCCTTTTTTGGCAAGTACTCGACCAGGTTTAGGACGGAAGCTCTGCCAGTCCTGGCTGGTGTACTGCCGGTCGACTTAGAGGTAGGTACAGAAGCGTGCGGCTATGTACTTCGCATCAAGGGAAAATATACCTAACCTCCGATTTCTTAAATAGCCGCGATCGTTCTAAAATAAGCCGATTATTTGATTCCCGAGAAGTCGTTGAAGAGGAATNTATGGAACCTAATTAACGTTTTATTTTTTTGTTAACTACTTAGTCAATTAATTTATTCCATTAGGTATTTGATAATTAAAAAACCTAAATAAACGTTTTAATAAATAAGTAAGTCAGAACCTTATTAATTTTATAAAGATTAAGAGTGCCAACCCTAACACTCAGTTGAAGTGTAGGTATTTAATTCGCCGAAAGGGCTAAGTTTCCGTACTGCTTTAGCTCATATATCTACTGTGCCGTTACCAACCGGTAAATCTGCAAATCATTGCGGGAGGTCTATGTTCAGCAGTGGAGTTCCTGTAACTGAAATGATAATGATGATGAAGTAATTATACGTGCATTATTAATCTAATTTATTTATTTATTTATTTATTTTATTGGGCTATCAACATGAGATACAGTATTATACACAATTAAAAAAATTAAGCCAAAGGTCTCTAGCTAACTGCTCCCACACAAACGATAACCACAGCATGCATAATATTATAATGTAAGCAATTTAAATTATTTTTGAATTATTTTTGATTGAAAATTTGATTGCGCTGAAATTAGCAAATGAGTTTAAATGTGAAATCATTAATTATTTAATTTGAAAACGTGATTGTACGGTAATTGCCGAATCATTGTCTTAGTGTGAAATTATTAATATTTAATCATGGTCAAGGATCTGGTGAAAATTTTAATTATCTATTGACACCTGTATTTACAAACGATGCATGTTGAATAGAGCTCTGTGATTGGTTCGTGATTCACCCTGTGCGTCCACGCTTACTGTGAGATCTCATAGTGATGTTTGTGAATACGGGCGTGAATCTACTGCTCTATTTCTATTGTGATACGGGCGTTATCGTAAACGTGGGATTCCGGTCTCGTGACTTTGCAAGTTAAAGTTCGCCTATCGTCAAATCATGTACAATGTTCAAACTAATTTACAATACCCCTTAACAATGAAGACTTAAAGTTTATTATTGAGATAGCCACTTGATGGTAGATTGTATGTATCATCATCCCAACTTCGGTTACGTCGTGACAAGGCATTGTCAGTTCACTTTGTGGAAATTTGCTTTGTAAATCTTTATCGATGGAACATAAAAGGCTCAAGTCTCTAATGGGCAGTTATTTAGGGCAGTTTGACCTAAGCAACTGTAACGAGTTAAAACCAAAAGTTGTTTATATCAAAGGGCTACTGAAAGATCCAACGTTTTATCATAATAACTACAATCCAGATGATGATGCAGATTATTGCAAATAGATATTGAATGTTACCGGGTCGTAAATTAAGTATATTGTCCACCTTAAGGACTTACCTGGATGCAGGCAGTCCAGAGCCCCGATTACGGTAACTTTTAACGTCTCCTACAATCCAGACGCGTTTCTGATTCTGCAATACGATTGGTCAAAACAGCTGACGTACGCTGTTGAACGACCAATCGTATCGCAGAATCGAGAAGCGTGTCTGGATTGTTGACGTTAAAAATTACCGTAATCGGGGCTCGGGACCGGTCGTTATGGAAATCCTTGGGGGAGGCCTTTGTCCAGCAGTGGACGTCATCTGGCTGAAAAGAACGAACTAGTCTAGACTAGTGTATTAAGTGTACCTAGGTACACTTTAGAAAATAGCTTATTGACATTGAACCATGTGAATATAGCGAGTTCAAGTTTAAATTAATGTGCCATGAACTCCTCAAGGACGCGTATTGTTAATTAATACATACCTATTTAATTAAACATAACACATATTTACACGCTTACATCAATAATATACTTATTTGTTAGGTACCCACAGCGATGGCAAATTGAATATTGTGCTAGCAAATAAACAATCCGTTAGTATTTACATTATGACAATGGTTTGGAAACATCTCGGGAAATTATGGCTTGAATAAATAATAACGTAACTTGATGGCATTAATATGTGTATTTGCAATAATTAACATGTGAAGCGAGCGATATTTATCCTCACATTGTAACGGGAATATTTTATTGTGTGTATGTAAATATAATATAGGTAACTACTTAACAATATCACAGGTATTACTACAGGTACCTATTTTATAGGTAGCTTAGTAAAAGAAAAACAACTTTAATAATATCTATTTAACAAAGCTTCTCTTCCTTTTGTAAAAGAAATAATTCAGTAACTAGCTACAAAACTGATTATTATTTTCCTTGGGTCTCTCCCCAGGGATAGATAAAGAATTCCTGTGATAGACATTACCTATAATTATGTACTTCATCTTAATCATTGTTTAATCATGAATCAACGTTAGTCTTCTGTTTTACATTATGCTATTGCTAATGCAAGCCACCAAGTTCGATCTTCAGCTATTTTCGAACTGCCTTTACAAATTGCTTATACTGCAATTTTGCTTAATATCATGGTCCCGTAATAGCACTCCACGCTGCATTTTATAAGATTGGTCCCTTCTTAAGAATACATCGACCCCAAAGGTTATTACGTTTATACTTTGGTTTTCTGCTGGATAAGATTATTATTATCCTAATCCTTTGATCTTGCATTAGTACATACTTCTAATATATTCGTTCGTTTCAGCCAAATGACGTCCACTGCTGGACAAAGGCCTCCCCCAAGGTTTTCCACAATGAACGGTCCTGCGCTGCCCGCATCCAGGCTCTTCCCGCGACCTTTACCAGATCGTCGGTCCACCTAGTAGGAGGCCTGCCCACGCTACGTCTTCCAGCCCGTGGTCGCCACTCGAGAACTTTCCTGCCCCAACGGCCATCGTCTCTACGAGCTATGCGCCCCGCCCACTGCCACTTGATTTTAGAAATTCTTCCACTTCTAATATATTACTCTTATATTACTGTAAATGTCTTCCATTCGGTGGGCCGACGATTTCGTGAATATCGCGTGAAATACCTGCACCTCAAGAATCAGTCGTGGAAATCCTTGGGGGAGACCTTTGTCCAGCAGTGATAGCCTTTGACTGAAATGGTGACGAAGATTTATCTTTTTAGGTTGGTGCAGAACTCAAGAACGTCTTTCGTGGCGATAATGCAATGAAGTGGCTAGTGTCCTGGGGTGAAGCCTGGGCTCTGTCTCCAAGTGAGACTGCCCTGGTCTTCATTGACAACCATGATACGCAAAGAAGCAACGATGTGCTCACTTACAAGGAGTCTAGAGCTTATAAGGTGAGGATATTGTCATACCTTCGAAAAGATGTTCACTGGTTGGTAATTGAATTAACGACATGAAGCTATTGGTACAAAATGCTTGATACCAAATACTCTATGTGGTAGGCCTCAGATTATAAAGAAAATTACGTCAACTTTATTATCTCTCTAGACTAGTCATTGTGGAAATCCGTGGGACTCGCCCGTCTCCTACGATGACGATATTATTATAACAATGAACGATGTTCTATCGCAAACAATAATGAAAAATTTTATCTTGTATTGCAGGCAGCTATAGCCTTTATGCTAGCTCATCCATATGGCGAACCGCGTATTATGAGCAGTTACTTCTTCGAAAATAATGAGCAAGGACCACCTAGTGATAACGAGGAGAATATTGCATCTCCTAGCATTAATAAGGTTGGTATCAAGATCAGATTTAGCAGCCCTTTGAAAATGTCATTCCAATAATCCTTTGATCCTTCAGTATTCGGTTCAGACCACATAAAGAATTGGAATGTTAGTTCAAGTAGACTTCACATCGATTTGATTTTATTCATTAATTTATTTATTTTAAATCGGCGTTGCCCGGTTGGTAGCGGCCTGCCTCCAGCCTTCCTTTGACATGCTACCTTTACGACGTCGTGGGTCCACATGGAAAGCATTGGGGGAGGCCTATGTTCAGTAGTGGACGTCCTATGGCTGAGATGATGATGAAATAGGCATTACACAATATCATGTTTTAAAGTAATTCCCAGTTTGATTAAAACCTTAGCTATACATAATTCTTGTCCAGGATGACACATGCGGCAACGGTTGGGTATGCGAACACCGATGGCGTCAGATATACCAAATGGTGGCGTTCAGGAACGCAGTAAGAGGCACGTCCATCCAGAATTGGTGGGACAACGGCAACAATCAGATCGCGTTCAGTAGAGGCAAGAAAGGATTTATTGTGTTTAATGCTGAGGGCCGGGACTTGGATCAGAATTTGCAGGTAATTTAGTATACTTACTAGCTATTGAAAACTTGCGCCAAGTCGGTAGTATAGTTCGCTTCATCTACGAAGACCCGTCCCGCCAATTTTTGATCGAAGGAAGCGCGGGGTGCGGGGAGTTTGATCCGAGCAATCCGAGCGTTATTATTGTAGGTACCGATAACACTCAAACATTCGCGGAACAATGGTGGGACGCGTTTTCGTGGATGAAACGATCTAGACTTCTAGAGTTTCAATTGGCATATTCTTTATTTGATAGTACAATATTAGTTTGGGTAAGTTTCATTATGTACAGTAGTACAGTATTCCCAAATTCATCAAGGTATGTTACGAGTGGATAGGCATTGTGCATAGGTATATCTGAGAAAGCTAGCTTCATTTTAGGTCGCACTACACTTTTCGGTGTTTTTGTTGAACAGAATTGTTGTACTTATCCTAAAAACTTAATGTAACAAAAACAGTGTTCTCAAAGAGTGTTTTCGTAATATAATATTATCATAAAATAGTTTAGTTTGTCGAGCTATTTACGAGACATCCCATGTATTGATCGCATCAAACGCAGGCATCCAGTTCTGAAGTCGATGGCATGGAAATAGTGTATTGCAATCCGACAATGCATTCAGATGAGACGGCACATTCTCGTGAGATTTCCAGTATCATTCGATTATTGCGAGGTATCTACAAACAAGGGCGTGAAATTCACACATACCTACTGATGTCGGGATTGGATACGTTCTCAGAAATAGAGATATCGATGAAATTATTCGAAGTTTTGATAGCATTTGAAGTCACTGGATGATACTAATTTATTTAAAAAAATTGGAGTAAAATTTTATATCCTGATGTGCTGGCGACTGTACTCACAATGCACAGGACTTAGGATAAAATTTTATCATTCAACAATAATCTTTTCATCTCCAGTAGCGTTTAATTAATACCAAAACAATAGCAGCAAATTCAACAACGAAACTGAACTATACAAATTAATAGTATCAACGTACGCGTAAACTGTTTATCTTTGATACACGTAAATGAACTAAGCTTTATTTTTAAACGGTTTTATTTTGCTTGCCCCATTTATATTATTATTAAGGGTTATTTTAAGCAACCCTTATCCAATTTTTAGACTGGACTTCCACCTGGAGAATACTGCGACGTGATCACTGGCAAGAAAGAGAAGAACTCTTGTACCGGTACCAAAGTGATAGTCAACAATGCCGGCAGGGCCGATATTCACATGTCAAGCCGCGCTGAAGATGTGCACCTAGCCATTCATGTGGGGAAAGAGGTATGTTTACACCATAGAGATTTAGAGAGATGCCAAGTAATGCGCTAAGTTCAAAACCCATTGTCGTGTTAGAAATTCACACACACACAAAGTAATTGAATTTGATATTTGAAAATAAATACCTACTTGGGGTCTTACGCCCGTATTCGCAAAAATTACTATGAGGTTTTTTTAACCGCCTCTGTGGTCTAGTGGTAAGGCCTTCAGACGCAGAGGTCCCATGATCGATTCCCATTGGGGGCAGATTTTTCTGTTCGGTTTGGTTGGTGGTAGGACTTGTTCTAAGTCCGCCTGGCTAGCTACCACCATCTTACCTAAGTCTGTCGCCATAACAACAATGTTAACAGCATCGTTGTGTTCCGGCAGTTAGAGGTAAGATAGCCAGTTCCTCCGTGGTTGAGGATTCCGGGTGAAGCTCGCTTCCACCTCCGGCCTGATCATCACTTACCATCAGGTGAGATACAGGCCAAGAGCTCCCTCGTTGTGGATTAAAAAAAAAGATCTAGAGAGATGCCAACTAATGCGCTAAGTTCAAAACCCATTGTCGCATTAGAAATTCACACACAAAGTAATTGAATTTGATATTTATAACTAAATACTTGGGGTCTTACGCCCCTATTCACAAACATTACTATGAGGTCCCACAGTGCGCGTGGACGCACAGGGTGACACATGAACCAATCACAGAGCTGTATTCGACGCTGTGCGTTCGATTTGCTGCTTCATTTAAGCAAGCATCGTTTGTGAATACGGGCGTTAGGGAGCTACTGGGTTTTTGAGAATGTCTCCCTTACCTTACTTTAAATTTTTGAAATGAGCGTTGAGGTTTTTCTAAAACTATTGGTTAATTGAGGTCTACCTCATACTCGACTGTTCGCGGTAGAAATGATTGATGCACTAAGTAATCGTGCATACGCAATGTTGTTGACTTACGTCACTAAGATTGAAATTGCTTTTCCAAATTATGTTATCAGTAAAAATATTTCCATCAGCGGTTTACTGCGTGAGTCTGTGTGGTAAACTAGGGGGTCAATTCTGAAATATGAGTTAGAAATATTTCAACATCTTTCTCATACTTATTCTGGAGTTAATTTTCGCAGAGTTTAACTAGAAAAGGGTCACGCACGAGGTATTTGACGATATCAGTGATTTGAACCAATTTCAGAATTAAACTGCCTAATTTTGTATCTAACAGTGAAAAATAAGATTTTTATTAATATAATTTTCCTGATATCCATTCATTGCTTAAAGGAAAGATTTGATCGAATTTATTAACCGACTTCATTTGTTTCAGTCTTCTTTACAAACTCGATGAATGGCGAAGAAAGAAGAAAGTTTGACGGCGTGATAAAATAATTAAGTTTTAGACAGTAAAAACTAAGTTTTAAATAATAACAATAATAAATTAAAATGTTCTATTGTCAAAAGCAATAAAATGTATAAAGAGTATTTTCCTTCTTTAAACCATTTTTTATAAACTTGTAGAATCAATACAAGTTTCACACAAGTATAACAGTTTCATAGTAAAGAAAATACTTAATTTTTCACCATCCTGAAATCCAAAAGGCTTCTCACGAACGTTCTTGAAGTCAAAACCATCATTACTTTTACATATCTCTATTTTTTATATCTTTCGACTTAAAAAAACATTAGATTCAGTGATGTTTCAAGCTCATCTTTATTTTTACAGTGAGATGAGTAATATCCATGTCCTACCTTCGAAAGTCAAATATTACGACATCGTAGAAAAGTCGGCGACCTACCATTATGTTATTTAATTGACGTTAATCAATAATCTCATCTTTTATCTGTCTTATCGCGCTAATTACAGAGATAATTACCGAAAAACACAATTAAATCAGGCGTTTTTTATCTATATCTTTAGTATATGTATAAACGGTCGGACACCAGGTGGTAGTGATCAGATAATTCCTTAATCGGAGAAACTGAAAACGTATTGTGGACAGGTGAGTGAAAATAAAAATTTCGTTTTTAAAAATCATTCATCCTTTGTAAGCTGGATTTTTGTAAATCTCAGAGTAAGTTGTAAATAAACAAATTGGCAGGTGCTTACTACGTTTTTAANGGTAGGTACAGAAGCGTGCGGCTATGTACTTCGCATCAAGGGAAAATATACCTAACCTCCGATTTCTTAAATAGCCGCGATCGTTCTAAAATAAGCCGATTATTTAATTCCCGAGAAGTCGTTGAAGAGGAATTACTTAATGAATAGCAAAAAAGATGGAATACGTCAGTCAAAGGGCGTCACTTATATAATTTCTTCCCGAATGTACGCGAACGTCTAACTAGGCGATGGTTAGAAATCGACCATTGCTCGTCGCAGTTCCTCACGGGGCATGGCAACTTTAAACATAAACTTCACTAATTCAAACTAGTTCCGTCTCCTTTTTGCGAGTGTTCCACTAATGATGTCAGTCATGAGCAGTCTGCCCATCATAATATTATCTTGTGGGAGTGTGATCTTTGGAAACATGTAGGTATGCACAGTTTTGACAATAAATGACTATCTATCTATCTATTATGAACGTAATTTAATGCTTAATTCAATACAACATACCTACATCTGTTTCCGCAATTTATTACACCGATCTTGTCGCGACAAGGAAAAATTTCCGTGCTTTTAAGCGATTTTGTGAAAAATATTATTGGCAGGTAGTTGCTAATTGCTCATAAGATAAGCCCCCTTAATTGATATTTATTGTCCGTGGTGCATAATCTTTTCTTAAAGGGTTTAAACCTTTGTTTGTCACCTGTCATCCGCTTTGCAATGGAGGGAAGTCGAACCTTAATTTCGAACTCCTCCTATGTTCTTCTGAATAATTTCGTTGCGGGTCCAATGACAGTTTAACTTTCCCCGGGACAAACTTGACCTTCATTGGTTGGAGTTGCAGTGGTGGGAACGAGAGGTGGGAATAGTCCCGATTTTAGTTAAAACTGTGCTCGGCCCCATTATACAGGGTGGAAACTTCTTTACACCATATTAAATACCTAAGTATTTTTAGTTTTTAATCCCTAATTGCTGTTGCTTTAGTCTCTAACGCATGATGTTTTCACCTATAATTAAGTTTGCATTTAACAAGTGTCATTTTTTATAGTTACTTTTGTGAAGCCTCAATGTAACCTTGTTGGTGTTCAAATAAATAAATAAATAAATAAACGAAAAGTGATCTCACTCGATTATTTCTAAAGTGCTTCACGAGCTCTTTCAAACGGTATCAGTAATAGGTTACAGAATTAACTGGATCTATCCGAAAATTCAATGTTTTCAGGCTTCATACTAAATGTATGCAAGCCACACAATATTAGAAGTGTTATTTTTTTTTTATTCAATAATAAACACTTAAATTGAACTCCAAATTGCATTCTTAATTAGAAAACATTGGTTTTAGGCTTTACTTACTATAATATTATCAAGATATGAGTGCCATGACTGTGGCAGTACTAAATGTATGGAAGCTGGTAACATTGAATTTTCGGATAGATCAAGTTTATTTTGTAACCTATTATTGGTACCGTTGGATAGAGCTCGTGAAGCACTTTCAGGATCAGTAACCAGTTTTTGGATATTTTGAATAGTTTTTAATATTATGTGGTTTTACTAAATGTATGGAAGCCGGAAACATTGAATTTTCGGCAGTGGCGGATTTACCAATAGGCCAAGTAGGCCAGTGCCTAGGGCGGCAGATTTAGAGGGGCGGCAAATTTAGCTAATTTTTTTTACAGGAAAAAAAAATTATAATTATACGTATACACAATCCATATAAATAAATAAACGATTAATAAACGCACTGTAATATATACTCAGGTACATACTTATGTGATCATGAATTTTAAAATATTCCAATAGCGTTTCAATAAAAATAAAATAAAAAACTCGTAACACAGGATCTTCGGAGCCTAGCACGAGTACCATCTCTCCACAACTTCGTGTATATTGTTTTACAGGGTGGCCCAGAAGAAAATTCACTTTTGAAAATTCAAGGAAACGAAAACTGTACATTTTTGTAGAACTTTAGCTATTGCAATTTAAAGAAAATTTAATGCAATTTATTTTTAAATTTACCTTTATTAAATTACATCGCCCATTCGCCCAGGAGATTTCCTTGACGCTTACAACATTCGATCAACATACATCAAAATCTTGAAATGCGTTCGTTAGAATTACCTCTTAAAATTAAAAACTATCTAAGATCTACTTTAAGTCAAGAAAAGCTTAATGCTTTATCTCTTTTGTGCATAGAGTCAGAACTTATGAAAAAGATTTCATACGACGATATAATTAATGATTTTGCAAATTTAAAATCTCGCAAGAAAATGTAAAACTTATTTGATCTCATTGTCTGTCACCAATAACTGGATGTTAACATGTTATATTTCAATAGAAATTGTCTGTATTTGTTTTAAACTGCTATGTGCAATAAAAAATATTTAACAAAAACAATGTTTACTGACCCCACATTATTTTGTCTGTGTTCATTTAGTGTAGGTATTTTTAAGTCATGTCTTTCCCCACCTTATGATTAGTACCTACATGCTGCTGTTTTTAGGTCAACATTAAACTCTTCAGTACATAGCGGGTTGCAATAATAATCTAGTAACTGACAGAAATATCATTAAGTTCACAATCATACTAATAACGGGATTAAACTAACGTATTGAATTTCAAAAGTCAGTAGGGGCGGCAAAAATTGAATGGCCTACTAGCGGCAAATTTGTAAATCCGCCACTGATTTTCGGATAGATCCAGTTTATTTGGTAACCTATTATTGGTACCGTTGGATAGAGCTCGTAAAGCACTTTCAGGATCAGTAATCAGTTTTTGGATATCTTGTATAGTTAAGAAATAATGGAGTGAGATCACTTATCGTTTCCACCCTGTATAATATAGTGTAACCCATTGTTGTTTTTCCCGAAATTTTATCATGGAGCGTAATCCTACCTAGGTACTCAGAAATGTTTAGCAGCAACTGCAATCTTTTCGCAATTTTCACAGCTTCTACAGCTTTTTCTAACTGCTCGGGAGAATATTTTTTTCTCGAACCAATCATCGACATATATTAGTCCCCAATAATCGACACTTGTCGATTACTGGTAGCTCGACTATGAATAGTTTACTTCAATTATCTACTAAATGCGCAAAGTCATAAGAACTATATTCGGTTGTCAAATGAAAAATGTTCCAAAAAATTACTATCGACACGTGTCGATTATTGGAAAAGTCAGTTTGTGAAAACCAGTGATCGACACCAACATTTTACTAATATCAAAATAACATTTTAAATTCGTTATAACAAAAATGGATTCTATAGTTCTTAAAGTAACCCGTGAAAAAGATAAAATTCAAATAAGTTACAATACAGTAGTGTAATTAACAAAAAATGTACTCACTTCCTTAAGGATTTTACTAAGAAATGTTGTTATTTTCACCGGTACTCCAGCCGCAATCAGTTGTTATACTGCCATTTTCAAAATAAATTGGCGGATTTTGCTTAAATGTCAATGGGAGGCAGTCAAAAGTGTGCTTTCTATGGTACAGTGTTGACATATTAAGAAATCGATTTTATACTCTTATTTTATTGAATCAAAAAATAAAGTGTCGGTCATTGGTTCTTGTCGGTCATTGGTGCCACTACGTTATACAGGAACTCTTTTTGAATTGGTATTTCTTATCAAATTCATATATTTTATTAATCAGACTACATTTGGCCCATGGATATGAACGAAATAATAACTTACGACTAGTGTTAGTAGGTATCGTACTTAGGTAAGTATTCGATATTCTAATCGTGATACAATACCAAGTTACACAATATTGTAATTTAAGTGTCACCTTAGGTAGGTTTTTCACAAAAGTCTTGTATTCCGAAATTCATCAAAGTATTTTACGAGTGAATAGGTATTTCTAGGATTTGTTAATTTTAGGTTGTACTAAGGTACACTTTTCGGTGTTCGTGAAGGTTTGTGTAAAACAGAATTGATGTACTTATCCTAAAAACTTAATGTAACAAAAACAGTGTTCCCAAAGAGTGTTTTCGTAATATAATATTATCATAAAATAGTTTAGTTTGTCGAGCTATTTACGAGACATCCCATGTATTGATCGCATCAAACGCAGGCATCCAGTTCTGAAGTCGATGGCATGGAAATAGTGTATTGCAATATTTGCAATCCGACAATGCATTCAGATGAGACGGCAAATTCTCGTGAGATTTCCAGTATCATTCGATTATTGCGAGGTATCTACAAACAAGGGCGTGAAATTCACACATACTGATGTCGGGATTGGATACGTTCTCAGAAATAGAGATATCGATGAAATTATTGGAAGTGTTGATAGCATTTGAAGTCACTGGATGACACTAATTTATTATGTGCGGATCAATTGAAGTGATTAATTTTGGGTGACGTCTCAATATCTCATAGTGCAAATGACACCACAACCAGATGTACCTACTTATACGGTAGCATTTTAAGACATTTTAATAGGTGTAATTTTGGAATAAAATTTTATATCCTGATGTGCTGGCGACTGTAGGTACTCACAATGTACAGGCGACTGTACTCACAATGTACAGGACTTAGGATAAAATTTTCACATTCAACAACAATCTTTTCATATCCAGTAGCGTTTAATTAATACCAAAACAATAGCAGCAAATTCAACAACGAAGCTGAACTACCCAACTTAATAGTATCAACGTGCGCGTAAACTCTTTATCTTTAATACTTACACGTAAATGAACTAAGCTTTATTTTAAACGGTTTTATTTTGCTTGCCCTGTTTATATTATAATTAAGGGTTATTTTAAGCAACCGTTATCCAATTTTTAGACTGGACTTCCACCTGGAGAATACTGCGACGTGATCACTGGCAAGAAAGAGAAGAACTCTTGTACCGGTATCAAAGTGATAGTCAATAATGACGGCAGGGCCGATATTCATATGTCAAGCCGCGCCGAAGATGTGCACCTAGCCATTCATGTGGGGAAAGAGGTATGTTTACACCATAGAGATTTAGAGAGATGCCAAGTAATGCGCTAAGTTCAAAACCCATTGTCGTATTAGAAATTCACACACACAAAGTAATTGAATTTGATATTTGAAAATAAATACCTACTTGGGGTCTTACGCCCGTATTTGCAAAAATTACTATGAGGTTTTTTTAACCGCCTCTGTGGTCTAGTGGTAAGGCCTTCAGACGCAGAGGTCCCATGATCGATTCCCAGTGGGGGCAGATTTTTCTGTTCAGGTTGGTGGTAGGGCTTGTTCTAAGTCTGCCTGGCTAGCTTCCACCATCTTATCTAAGTCTGTTGTCATAACAACAATGTTAACAGCATTGTTGTGTTCCGGCAGTTAGAGGTAAGTGGTTGAGGATTCCGTGAGAAGCTCGCTTCCACCTCCGGCCTGATCATCACTTACCATCAGGTGAGATACAGGCCAAGAGCTCCCTCGTTGTGGATAAAAAAAAGATCTAGAGAGATGCCAACTAATGCGCTAAGTTCAAAACACATTGTCGCATTAGAAATTGACACACACAAAGTAATTGAATTTGATATTTATAACTAAATACTTGGGGTCTTACGCCCGTATTCACAATTACTATGAGGTCTCACAGTGCGCGTGGACGCACAGGGTGACACATGAACCAATCACAGAGCTGTGTTCGACGCTGTGCGTTCGATTTGCTGCTTCATTTAAGCAAGCATCGTTTGTGAATACGGGCGTTAGGGAGCTACTGGGTTTTTGAGAATGTCTCCCTTACCTTACTTTCAATTTTGAAATGAGCGTTGAGGTATTTTTTAAAAAGATAGACTAGACCCCGTTCTCGACTGTTCGCGGTAGAAATGATGGATGCACTAATCTGTGCATACGCAAAATTGTTGACTTACGTCACTAAGATTGAAATTGCGTATCCAAATTATGTTATCAGTAAAAATATTTCCATCAGCGGTTTACTGCGTGAGTCTGTGTGGTAAACTAGGCCCTAGTTTACCACACAGACTCACGATTATAGATTCTGAAATATGAATTCGAAATATTTCAACATCTTTCTCATACTTATTCTGGAGTTAATTTTCGCAGAGTTTAACTAGAAAAGGGTCACGCACGAGGTATTTGACGATATCAGTGATTTGAACCAATTTCAGAATTAAACTGCCTAATTTTGTATCTAACAGTGAAAAATAAGATTTTTATAAATATAATTTTCCTGATATCCATTCATTGCTTAAAGGAAATAGACTTTAGGGCACGATCTCGGACTGCATTTTCATTCACGTTGAGAATATCGAGTGGTGGATATCCCATACTGATTCCCAAGCCGTGGATCACATTCGGAAACCTGTTTACTCCACCTTTCCATATCTGCAGATACTATTCTATCCATCCATTAAAATCTCAAAACAAGCCCTAGTTTACCACACAGACTCACGATTATAGATTCTGAAATATGAATTCGAAATATTTCAACATCTTTCTCATACTTATTCTGGAGTTAATTTTCGCAGAGTTTAACTAGAAAAGGGTCACGCACGAGGTATTTGACGATATCAGTGATTTGAACCAATTTCAGAATTAAACTGCCTAATTTTGTATCTAACAGTGAAAAATAAGATTTTTATAAATATAATTTTCCTGATATCCATTCATTGCTTAAAGGAAAGATTTGATCGAATTTATTAACCGACTTCATTTGTTTCAGTCTTCTTTACAAACTCGATGAATGGCGAAGAAAGAAGAAAGTTTGACGGCGTAATGAAATAATTAAGTTTTAGACAGTAAAAACTAAGTTTTAAATAATAACTGTAATAAAATAAAATGTTCTATTGTCAAAAGTAATAAAATGTATCATAATGAGTATTTAACTTCTTTAAACCATTTTTCATTAACTTGTAGTATAAATACAATTTTCACACAAGTACAACAGTTTGAATTTTCTATGTTCTAATTTTCTTTATTACGTTCTTAAAGTCAAAAACATCATTACTTTTACATTACATTAATCTTCTTTCGACTTAACATAAGATTCAGTGATGTTTTTAAGCTCATCTTCATTTGACAGTGAGATGAGTGAATTCCAGGGTCCTAGGTACTTTCGAAAGTCAAATATTACGACATCGTAGAAAAGTCGGCGACCTACCATTATGTTATTTAATTGACGTTAATCAATAATCTCATCTTTTATCTGTCTTATCGCGCTAATTACAGAGATAATTACTGAAAAACACAATTAAATCAGGCGTTTTTTATCTTTATCTTTAGTATATGTATAAGCGGTCGGTCACCAGGTGGTAGTGATCAGATAATTCCTTAATCGGAGAAACTGAAAACGTATTGTGGACAGGTGAGTGAAAATAAAAATTTCGTTTTTAAAAATCATTCATCCTTTGTAAGCTGGATTTTTGTAAATCTCAGAGTAAGTTGTAAATAAACAAATTGGCAGGTGCTTTTAAAGTTTTTAAAGTTGTGGAGTTTCCCTTTAAGAAAACTTCTAGAAGCGTAATTTAATTTAAGCTCTTACTTTGCAATTTCACCAAACTCTCTTTCATTCAAGTTAATTCAGAAACGAGCGTAAACAATCTTACTTACCTTTGAAGGTTCAGCCAAACCAACGCGATCAGTCGGCATGGAGCGATGGCGATCAGACTTAAATGCATTGATCGCCATCGCTGCACGTCGGCTGATCAGGTTGAAAAATCTTAACGAACTTATTTTTGAAGATTCACTAATAATAATAATAACCTTCCTCGTAGTGACTACATCACACTACTCTGTGGTCATATGCAATGAAAATATTATAGTCTGATGGGCTGATGTATACTTACTTATAGTTATTCTGTTTTTCTAGGATGTTGCGTTTCGTCGTACTCCTGGCGGGCTTAGCCCTGACCTTGGCCTTCAAGAACCCGCACTATTCCGGGGACAGGACCACCATGGTCCATCTCTTCGAGTGGAAGTGGGACGACATTGCTGACGAGTGCGAAAGGTTCTTGGGACCTAACGGATTTGGTGGTATTCAGGTAAGATAGAGTTTTCTATTGTGTTTTCTACAGCCTCTAAATATTCAGCTCAGCCTTTAAGATTAAGTTATTAGGTCTGAACGAATTATGTACCTATATATACATGTACTCATAATATCTGGTTGTAAAGACCAGTTTTTTGCCTGGAAATACCATTTCAAACTGTAGCTTAACTCAACCTATCCTCTTAAAATTATTGACTAAGTTAAGACTGTACCTAACTCATTATCTTTGAAAGAACCCTAAGGCTCCGACTCCAATTGACATCATCGGATATTATTATAATCTATGATGGTGCTAAATAGCGACTGAAAAAACTAAACATCTTGATTATTACAGCCCAAACATAACTAAACTTATCAATAGTTTAATAGGTGAAAGCAACATTTATTTCTTTGAAACACCTTTTTGTAAACCCTATTTATTGCAATTAAATTGAATTTTTTAATTTGAATCGATCATCAGATACGGGCCAAGAGCTACCTCGTTGTGGATAAAAAAAGCCCATAGTTTCTGCTACTGCAACTAGGAATATCTATAAAAGCCTAAATGGGTACATCATCATAACTAGACATTATCACTTATCCAGCATCTCTCTTCCAGATCTCTCCTCCCAACGAGAACCTGATCATCCGAGCCCACAACCGTCCCTGGTGGGAGCGCTACCAGCCCATGTCCTACCGCCTGATAACCCGCTCTGGCAATGAGCAGCAGTTCACCAACATGGTCAGACGGTGCAACAACGTCGGTGTCAGGTTTGTTTTGAGATTTTAATGGATGGATAATCTGCAGATATGAGGAAAGGTGGAGAAAATAGGTTTCCGAATGTAATCCACGGCTTGGGAATCAGTATGGGATATCCACCACTCGATATTCTCAACGTGAATGCAAATGCAGTCCGAGATCGTCCCCTAAAGTTTTGGGGAAGATTTTAAGGTCAGCAGTGAACTGCCATTGACTCAAATAATGACGATGAAACTGACAAAATACTTTTAGTTTTACGGAGAAGACTGTCGGAAGATTTCATATAAGGCAAACGAAATAACGATAATATAATTTACGAAATAGATAAGCTTCTATATAAAGATAAAGAGTCTCACCTCAACCCATAAAATTTCAGACATCAAATAAGGATTCCCTTAATTTAGTCAAAAGAGCACATAAAGGAATAGCCTATATTTGAAATGATAAGATCTCTTGTCTCTCTTTGAAGCATAAAGTTAATCTTCTCTCAGGATCTATGTCGACGCCATCATCAACCACATGACTGGTACCTGGAGCGAGAACGTAGGAACCGCAGGCAGCACAGCCACCTTTGGGCAGTGGAGCTACCCAGCTGTTCCGTATGGCTGGAACGACTTCAACTGGCCTAACTGCGTTATTCAGGGATCCGACTACGCTAATAACGCCGAAAGAGTAAGCACTTGATCAACAATCTTACTTTGCACATAGAACGGGTGGCATTTGCTCCCGGCGGGTTTCGAACCCGCAACCATATCAGCGCCCCGATTGCGCTAATTTGTAATGTCTCCGATTCGTTCGCGTTTCAACTCCAGTCTACCCTCCGGCCTCCAGTCACACTCCATTGTCATTCCAGCAGATGTGCAATTCGGTATCGCGGTAAAGTTCACGCGCAAACAAAGGATTTGTGCACTTTTCATTAAAAGTCCGAACACCTTATTTTTGAAACAAAAATTACTAAAACAGCAAATGTTCGTGAAGCGTATGAATTGCGTGTGAGAAAAAGTAGCTTTTTGTCAGCTTTAACTCAGAGACGCAGTTGCGCAATTTGTGCAAACAGCTGATTATCGTTCGTCGTCTAGTTGCGTTGCAGTTGAAAATATTTAGCGCGATCGGGGCGCTGAATTGGTAGTTCCTATACTAAGGGTATAGACGGTAGGAGAGACGATATTCGTAGGTAGATACTTGAAGTATCAGTCATAATTTTTTTCTTGTCCTAGGTCCGCAACTGCGAGCTGTCTGGTCTGAAGGACTTGAACCAAGGCACCGAGCACGTTCGTACCATGATTGTCAACTACATGAACCATCTGATCGACTTGGGTGTTGCTGGTTTCAGGTAAACATTATTTAATTGTCTCATACAACTTTTAGTGGTTATTCTACTATCGCAAATTTAGGAGCCAAAAGCATGATGCGTTGCAGCACCTCACTGTAAAGATATCGTCGTATCGCGCGCTCGTGTGCCTGCTACAGATATTTCTAATGTAAGACGACGCAGCGACACCGCTCCGGCGTCGCATCACCGCCGCAATGTACCGTGTGCTTTGGCTCTTATGTGGCACACTTTATAATACACTTCATAGTGCCTACATTCGACAGAGGCCTATAAGAATTCAAAATTCAAATAGTTTATTCAGTACATAGGCCCTTTCCAGGGCACTTATACACGTCCCAAATACAGTGTGAGTCACGTTAAAGTGTACATATGAAAACATACGGGTCGAATTGAGAACCTCCTCCTTTTTTGAAGTCGGTTGAAAATAGATGAAACTAGACCTATTTTTATCGACAAAAAAGAGGTCAAAATTTTTTTGAGATTTTTTTTAAATTTTTTNTTCCCTATGGATGGAACGACTTCAACTGGCCTAACTGCGTCATTCAGGGATCCGACTACGCCAACAACGCCGAAAGAGTAAGAACTTGATCAACAATCTTACTTACATAGAACGTGTGGCATTTGCTCCCGGCGGGTTTCGAACCCACAACCATATCAGCGCCCCGTTTGCGCTAATTTGTAATGTCTCCAATTCGTTTCTGTTTCATCTCCAGTCTACACTCCAGTCATGCTCCATATTCATTCCAGTTGATGTGCAAATTGGTATCGCGGTAAAGTTCACGCGCAAACAAAGGATTTATGCACTTTTCATTAAAAGTCCGAACACCTTATTTTTGAAACAAAAATGACTAAAACACAGCAAATGTTCGTGAAGCGTTTGACTTGCGTGTGAGAAAAAAGTAGCTTTTTGTCAGTTTTAACTCAGAGACGCAGTTGCGCAATTTGTGCAAACAGCTAATTTTCGTTTGTAGTATTTTGAATTTGTAGTTCCTATACTAAGGATATAGACGGTAGGAGAGACGATATTCGTAGATACTTGGAGTATCTTAGTTATAATTTTTTTCTTATCCTAGGTCCGTAACTGCGAGCTGTCTGGTCTGAAAGACTTGAACCAAGGCACCGAGCACGTTCGTACCATGATTGTCAACTACATGAACCATCTGATCGACTTAGGTGTTGCTGGTTTCAGGTAAACATTATAATTAACTGTTGTCTCACACAACTTTTAGTGGTTATTTTACTATAGAAATTTTAGGAGCCAAAAGCATAATGATGCGTTGCAGCACCTCACTGTAAAGATATCGTCGTATCGCGCGATGCGGCGCACCGCTCGTGTGCCTGCCACAGATATTTTTAATGTAAGACGACGCAGCGACACCGCTCCGGCGTCGCATCACCGCCGCAATGCACCGTGTGCTTTGGCTCTTAAGTGGCACATTTTATAATTCACTTCATAGTGCCTACATTCGACAGAGGCCTATAAGAATTCAAAATTCAAATAGTTTATTCAGTACATAGGCCCTTTCTACGGCACTTAGGTATATACTTACGAGCAAAAGTATGGAATCACCACCTTGTGTTTTGTTCTGAGCGATCTTAAGAACTGAATGACTATGTATGTTTAAGTGGTATCATTTTGAAGTTTATAATATAACCTAATGGTACCATTTTTATTTGTAGGTATAACCTAATGG